GAGGGGGTGGGGGGGGGGGTGGTTTGGGGGGGGGGGGGGGGGGGGGGGGGGGGGGGAGGGCACGAAACTTGTATATCTCTGTATCTAGTTATCTACGTGTTCTTAACGAAATTGTGATTTCCGCAGGGGAGTCGGGCTCGGGCGTGTCGATGACACTAACTTTGTTAGCCGACGCTTTTTCAAGCCAATTTTCGAGCAGCCGGTTCCGCTGAAAACGTTTCGGGGAGGACGGAAGAAGCGGTAATCCGTTGGAGCAAGGTCCGGCGTGTAGGGAGGATGCTGGAGAACCTCTCGTCCAAGATCTCGGAGAGGCATTTTTGTTAAGTTAGCCGTGCGGGGTCGAGCGTTGTCGGAGATGCTCGTTTCCATTCAGCCGGGGCTTCATGGCTTTTCAGCGGAAGCTTTGTCGTTCTCGCGTTGCCTTCCTTCCGCGGGTAAAGATATTCTTGCATGCACGAGTGGCAGTTTCGGGACAACGGTTATCCCCGTTATCGTTTTTCTTTTGAAGCGCAGCCCCGTTGGACCGACCGACCGACCGACCGACCGGCCCGGCCCGGCCCCTCGACAGGACGAAATTGGTTTTACGCGAACCTGTGCAATTTCGCGGCCGTGCCACGGGAGATCTTCGTACTTATTGCCAAACCTATCGATCAAGGAAATTGTTGCGATGCAACGCGCACACTCGGAGACTTTGTTTCGCAGAGCACCAACACTCGAGCACGCCGAGGACTCCGCAGTACACGTACAGCAGCATGCACCAGGGGCTTTCGTCGTTATTACACGATCTCGTGCAATTGGAAGCGACCAGCGGCGGCTCCTTGCTTCGCGGAAATTGCAACGATCGCGAAATAACGTCGCGCACAGCTCGCGCCGTCTGTCCCGTCCACGAAAAACGCGTGACAAATCAGAACGGAATCCGTCTCGCGCGGAGCTTGCAGCAATTCCACGTAAAAAAAAGGAAAAGAAAAAAAGAAAAGAAGGAAATAACCGACGTTGCGTCGAATGAATTAACAAGCAAATGAAACGCCGAAGACGATACAGCGTACAAGGGCTCGGCTCGGGCCGTTAATAAACGATATGCAAAGGATTGCGTGTCCAATTATTCGCGAGATTTTAAAGTGGCCCGAGACCCGACGTAAATGGAAAGTATAAACGATGAGCGAATAATATAAAGCTCTTTTTGGCACAAAAGAGAGGACGGCGGTTTAAAGGGCCGCGAGGGATCAAAACGTTTTTAGCCGAGTGTCAGTTAATAAACCAGCCAATAAAGTCGTCGAGATTTTTTAGTTTACATCTCGGAACGATCCGCACAAAGGAGCTCTTTGTTCCCGTTCTCCGCGGCCCGTTACGATCGCGCTGGATTAACGAGCGAGGAGACGTTGCCTTTCCCATTTACCCCCGCGACTGAATTCATTTGCCGATGAAACAAGGCGATCGCGGCACGATAATTGCCGATCCGTGCCGCACGACCACTAAAGAGTAAGACGCGCTCAACGATGATCGGCGCTCTGCGCGCAACTTTAACGAGAAATCCACCGATTATACACCGCGAATTTACATTGTTCCAGATTCGTCCGCGGAAGCTGGAACATTTTGCCGAAGGCGTACCACGGAACCCCTAAGCGGGGGCGTCGCGCGACCTTATTCCCAATTATTTCAACGCTCATTGCACCGTGCTGGTCGGACGGCGACCCGATGGAAAATAGGAAAGGCCGACGAACGCGATCGGAAGATTCGCGAAGAACCTTCGACACCTGTCCCCGCGTAACGTCCGTGGTCGATCGCAGGCCCTCGACGGGGTTTCTCGAGAAGAGCGGGGAGAAGGGTGACGAGCGGGACCGTCGCGTCGGCCGGCGGGCCGCGTGGTAATTTCATTTGGATCCGGTGAACGTCGCAATTCGAGAAACCAGGTGGTATATCGTTTGATGTGTATGGACTGCGGCGCGGCGGCAGAAGTGCAGCGACGGTGGATGGCGGACGGCGGATCGGTCCGCGGGGCGAGGGGGTCCAAGGGAGGCCTGCCGGGGAGGAGAAGGGGCCGAGGATGACTGGAGGCAGATAGGTGACAGGGGGATGGGCCTGCGGCGGGAACGGATGGAGGATGATCGGGAGAAAGCGAGAAAGGGGCGAACGGTCGGCGAGGAGGAGAGGAGAGGACAGGGAGAGAGAACAGGGAACCGGAGTGAACCGAACAGAGAAGGAAGAGAACGATGATTGCCCCGTGGAAGGGGCACGTGGGAGAGAACCCGCAGAGAGAAAGAGCAAGAGAAAGAGGGAAACGGAGAGTAAGAAAGAGGGAAGAGGGAAGAGGGAGAGACTGAGACTGGGTCTTTCACCCGAGGAACGAGCCGAACGAATAGCTCGTCGCCGCCGCCGCTGCCGCCGCCGCGGCAGTGCTCCCGGTTCTGCCGCTGCCGTTGCGGCTGCGGCTACCGACGTTTCTACCGCTTCCACCGCTATTGCCGGTTGCGTTTTGCTCGGCCGCCGCACTGCCAGTCTGCACCGACTGCGATTATTATCGCACTGATCTGGCACAATGCGCCGGGCATTACATGCTGCGTCCGTACTGCCGTTAGCCGGGTTTGCGCGCGACACAGAACCGCATTCCTGATTAACCCTCTCGGCCGGAGGATCGTGACACCGAACTCTCGGTTCGGCCACGCTTCTTCTCCTCCTCCCCCCCCCCCCCCCCCCCCCCACGCCGGCCCTCCTGTTCGCGCGGAACATACACATTCGATTGCAATTGCGCCTGACGAAGCCCCAACCATTACACCCGGATGATTTCTTTTTTTTCAGGAGGCGCCAATGGATCGGTCGCCGAAACGACATCTGTACGTGCGGACAATGCGGACCACGCGGATCACGAGGGCTTCGTCTTTTCGTTCGGCAATTAGAAGCGGACCGCGTTCGCAGAGCGCGTGGAGGTAGGAGACGCGCGGATGCATTCCGCGTTCGTCGGGCGAACGAGCAGTTGAAAATACAAATGAATCGCAGGACGGGTTCTCTATTCCGAGAAAACGGTCGGGCCACTCAAAGCAAGATTAAGGACTTACGCAAACACGCCGGCTACACGCATTCAACGTGCGAACGATCGGACTTGCGACGGGGAATCCGGCGAGTAAATCTGTCGCGCGGAATACAGTAATGTCTCTCTAATTGACGCTCGGATTCTACTTAAAAAATGGACTATTTGGGAACAGGAGGAGGAGGAGGCGCAATAGTATCGATATCGTAAATAGAGTTCGAACAATAGTATCGTCTTTTCCCGAGTTGTCCATTTTTCTGCACAATCTGAGCGTCAGTTAGGGAGACATTACTGTGGATACTGGCACGGCGCGGATAGTACCGAGCTGGCGATGCGGTTCTACCGCTGTCGCCTGCTCCGAGCAAGCTATCCGCTGTCCTCCCGCGAGTGCAAGGATCGTCTCGTTGCAAGGGGACACGTGGACAGCGAGAATAAGCGGACACCGACCGCGTATCGACGCGCGGTTTGTTTTTTGCACGGTCCGCGCCGCGCTGAAAGCAGCCCTTTAAATGCGAACGCGACGAATGCGTGCCACGACAGCCTCCATTAAACTATCTCGACGGCAGGAAACGGTATCGCGAAACCTCACAGGCCGCGACAAGCAGCGTTCTTCGATGATTCACGCGTCTATCGCGCAAATTGAATCATCGGCCGCCGCGTCGACCGGATCTAAACCCGTTCGCTTCGATCGGCGAAGCCAGCAGATCCGGCCGATTTTACCGCAACAATTGTAGCACTAGAACCAAGATTGTTCGACGATCGGCGAGCGAAGCAGAGTTCGCGCATCGTCGGCTGATCAAACGTAGGCCGTGTCTACTTGGTTGCCACGGCTCCGACTACCGGTCCGCTCTTTGATCGCGGCTCCGGGTCGACTTTCCGGTAAATACGCCGCGAAAAGGAGCACCGGCCAATCTCGTTGATTGGTTAATGGCGATCAAAGCTGAAATTTGTACATCGGGCAATTATTTGCCCGGCAGTCTGGCTATTACTTGGTGCGCCAGATTGCGGCGCGGTGCGGCACGGTGCGGCGCGGCGCGGAGCGGAGCGGCGCGAGGCGTGCACGTATACATACGTTCGCGTCGACCGATCTATATCTGTCTCTGTCGATTCATCCGCGAGCAAACGCGTACACTCGGAAACGTCCGCGACTGAAATTGTCAATTAATTTTCGCGATGCGTGCGACGGCCGATCCTTCGCAGCTCGTTTCGAAGAGCCCCTTGTCTCGCCGTCTACCCGGTTAAACAGACCTCGCAGAGGGTAAATTACTCCCGGATCGCGCACTTTTGTTGCTCCTCGCCGTCGCCGGTACGCCTTCACCGTTTTCGGAACTTCGGGCGCGACCCGGGACAAGCGCGACTATTCTCGCATCTTCTCTCTTTCGTCGCGATTCTTTATTCTTCTCGCGTTTTATCTCCGTTTCTCGGCTCTCCTCGATCCGACCTCCGCGCCTCGCCTTCCTCTCTCTCTCTCTCTCTCTCTCTCTCTTCTCTATCTCTCTCTCTCTCTCCCTCGCTCGCTCGTTCTCTCGAGCCACAGCAAATTCGCATCGGCCATCAGCCAGTGCCAATAACGTACCAAGGCAGATGGGAGATGTGGCGAGGGTTTGGTGGTTGGCCCGACGTCGGCGGGGCGAAGGGGTGCTTTACTGTCTGCAGGGATGTGCTTCTCGGTCCGAGCACCCGATACCCGTCTTCGCGAGAATCTCCGATCGTTCGGCGTTATATTTCAGCCATTCGCGACCGAAACACGAATTCGGCTTTTTCACGCTCGAAACGATACCGATATCTGTTCGTGTTGCAGGTGGCGATCGTCGGTACACGGCACGGAGAACGGCGCAGTTCCAGCGAAGTTCGAGGGATCCGGTTGGCAGCCGGCGGCAGATAATGCCGCAACGCGGGCAATCGTGGAACGTACGGCGGCGAATTAGCAGAAGAGAAGGTTTATCAGGCCGATCGATCATTTCGCGTCAATGGCCCGGAAAATACACGGAGAGGTGTACTTTCGCGCGGCTGTCCGTGCGGGTTGGTCGGCGGTTGCGGCGGACAATAACGCGGAAACTTTCACCGGGTCGCGGCGCGGCGGTCGGGCACGGCCGAGAAAAGAAAAAATGACAATCGGCTCCGTCGCTCGAGCGGATAATTTAAAGTCAAGTGCACGCACCGCGTGTGTCTGTCCTCTCCCTGCAGTTAATTTGTCGCGGGATCGTCGCGTCGTCCCGGCGCATCGCCTTTGAAACGTCGCTCGTGCGACTGGTGCACGGCCCGTGTGTGACTCGTGTGTAAGGCTCGCGGCTCTTTTTCCCATGTACCCGCGACTTTGTCTGAGCGCCCGCAGGCCGCGAGCCGTGCGTCTCCACGGCCTGCGGGCGTGGGCATTAACGCGTCTAGGCTGACCGTGCTGAAAACATAAGCGCGTCTCCCCGACGACCGCGGCGATTCGCTTTATCGTGCCATTGTACTTTTCCTCTTGGCCCGCGTGATTTCACTTGCCGCCGGACGATATCGCCAATTGTTTAAACAACGCGCCGCTTTCGAAGAAGCGCCGAACAGACCCCTTTTGCGCGGCGATTCGCACACGTGATCGATAACGACCGCTCGCGTTCGCGATTTCATAGGACCCGTCGATTCCATGCTTCGCGCGCGAATCGTCGCGCGAAAGAGAGGCCTCTTCTCGACGCAGAAGGGAAAGTAATTTCGAAGATGGTTATTCCAATAACAAAAAATACTGTCGCTGCTGAACGGCGAGAGACAGCAGCGCACGAGAGACATTTTTCTCCGCTAGCGTAAGCTCTCCTGCGCGTTCGGGGAGCGGCATGTTAATTCACTCGCGTCCGAAGGCCTTGAGCGTCTATAATTAACGGCGCGCAAAAATCAGCGAAATTCTCGGCGTGTCACGCATTGTTTCTTCGGCCGAGGAGAGGATTCGTTCGCGCGAACCCAAGATCTTCGACGAGCGGGCATTCCGCGAGCGGTCGACGCGAGTCAGCTCCTCTCCTCGAAGGACGACCGATGTTTTCGCGACAGGTAGAAGGAAACTCGGTCCCGAAGGGTACGGGAGAAGGGAAACGTAGAAAGTATGCGCGCAGGGGGAGAGGTTCGGACCCTGGCTAGCCGTTCCCAGAGCCGAAAGTTCCCCGCTGCGACGTCTGGGCCGATAATTTTTATTATTCCTCGCCCACGGAGCGTCGTCCTTACGCACGGCCTCTTCCACGAATCGGCTGACCGCGTTTCCACCTACGGTTGTCCCTCTTAAATGCTCGCCAATTAAGGGAGGACGTGCTAGGAAATCGGTGCTTTCATCGGTCGCCGATCACACACTCCGCTTTGTCTTCTTCTTTGTCTCTTTCGATCGACTCGGACGCGTCGACTCGTGTTACGACACGGTCAATACCGAGAAGAAAAATCTAAACACGGCGTGCGTATCTTGTAATCGTTTTGGGCAAGGTGACCTAGACCTAAGTTTACATCCGCATGTAATCGAATCGCAATTCTGTTCTCGTTTCAGGCGGAGCCGCCGCGCCGGGTTCCTCGTCGTCTTCGTTGGAACGAACGATCGCCGCAGAGAGACAAAGCCGCCGATTCCACCGAGTATTCACGGCCACGACGCGACGCTAATTATTCCTGTAAAAGTTTAAGCGACTGCGGCGCGGCGACGGTGGTTATTACGCCGACTGCGGGGCAATTAGCCCGGCTCCTGTGTTCGTATTTTCTTTTATCTCGGCGTTCCGGAAGAATGCTAAAAAGCTGGCCAGCCCCCAAAGACGATAGCGAGCGGCGTACTTATCTTATTAACGCCGCTTCTTTCAGGCTCGAGTGCAACGTGAAACGATCGTCACGGTGTTCGCTCTTCGGAACGACCCTGACAAAGTCCGACCAGCCGGCCAGACAACCGCGAGACGGCCGGCAAGCGTTTCGCGAATGCTCGAGAGCCGTTTCGTGCGTGTTTGTGGCTGACGCGTGACGGGGACTGAGCGGCGGAGCTGTGGGATCGCCGCGCTCGAGGCGAGCAACGTCGAGGACTCTCGTCGCCTCTTCTAGGAATCACGGGAAAAGAACAAGGATGCCCGGTCGACGACGGTTTTCTCAATCGAACCGCGATGGAGCATGCTTCCATGCCGATGTACCACCTTAGGACCTGGGACCTAGGATCTAGACGATATCTATAAATAGGACGCGTTCCAGGCATCGCAGGATTTCCGTAGAAATCGCGACGGAGCCTCGCGTCCCGCGAAGTTCCTTTTCATGACCGAGCGTCACCGCAACGAGAAAGTCTCCGGATCGAGGGATCGGGACCGGCCGCAAAAACAGAAGCCACGAAATTGCTCGGTAGTTTAAATGTCAGCGATGAACGAGCAGCCGGTACGAGAGGCTGCGGTGGCGTCCGTGTTCCGGAGAAAAAGAGATTAACAGGGCCGGAGAACAAAACGTAAGATCGTTGAAAGAACCGTAGGACGAGAAGACGAGAAGAGAAAAGGAGAAAAGAGAGAGAGAGAGAGAGAGAGAGAGAGAGAAAGAGGTGCAGAGGAGAGAAGAGAGCAGAGGAGAGGAGAGGAGAAGGGTCCGCGGCAGCGGGAGGGGAAGGAGAAGATTGGCAATGCAGTGATACGCAGCGCGGCAGCAGTGGCGCCGAAAATGCAATGCGGTGCGCCGGGACGACGGTGTCGGCGTCGGGCGTGGCGGATAACTGACCTCGACTCGTCTAGCTCGGCCGCCCCTGACGCCTCTTGGCAGACCTTCCTCTGTCCCTCCGATGCAGCACCGTGCCTTTATGCCAGTGATCCCCCACTGGAACAACGCCGACGCCGACGCCGACGCCGACGCCGACTCGACCGCCGCGTTCATCGTCGTCCGCAACTTCTCTGCTCTAGCCGATCGTGCTACCCTTCTTCACCCACCGAGCTTTCGTTCTCGTCCTACGATCAAATGGTCTGGGTTGCCCCTCCAACGCCGACCTTACTCCCTCTACACTTGCCTTATACACCGGGTCTTCTCTCCCCCCTTCCTCCGTCTTTCTTGCTCTAATAGCGTCATCTCTCTCTTTCTCTCTCTCTCTCACTCGCTCTCTTCAATCGTCTACTCTTCTGGCCTCGTCTGGTCTGTTAGCTCGGTCTAGTCTCGACTCGACTCGACTCGGCTCGTCTCGTCTCGTCTCGTCTCGTCTCGTCTCGTAGCGGCCTTCCGCGCCCCTGGCAGATCGGCAGACAGCAGTCTGACTGTCTGGTTGCCCGGCAACGCGCCGCTGCCCGTCGCCGTCGATGAGAGAGGGTGAATTCAGCGATAGTTACGCGCTGCATCCTGCACGAGCAAATGCCCGCATCAGGCTACATCGTGCACCCTTGGAGGAGATGACACGGTGAGACAGGCGAGCGCAACGGTGACGCACAAGGGTCCCCGGTATATTTCGAAAATTATTATTCGCTATGGTCGCGGTAGTCTCTCGGGCCCCAGAGCGTTCTTTCGGATACTTTGAAGCACGCGAGTCGGGACTGACGCGGTCGAAGGATTGGAGAGGAGACATGCGGGCCCATTAGCCAGGGGCAGGTGGAACCGTCTTTACGGATGGCCCACTTTTCTTTCTGCCGAACGATAATTAGCAATTACGCTAGCTTCCTCTGTAACGGCGGCGATAGGGGTAGATATACGCGGCCCCTAATTGGTCCCCGCGCAGAGGCCCCCTCTAAAAAAACAAGCGCGCTCGTTAGACGTTTCCATCGAACGCTATACGGCGACACGTCGGCCCCGCGTCGGTGTCGGCGTCTGCGTCAGCAACAGAGGCTGGTGTGGGTGCTAAAGGTTAAAGTCATATATGCAGCCGAGAGAATTTCGAGACGCGCCAGTAGCATAGAAAATCTGCGCGGGGTTAAATTTAGGTGGCTTCGTTACCTGGAATACGCGTAGCCGACCACGCTAAGTTCACGCTTTGCGACATCGATCGACCGTCCACTTGCAAAAAAAGAAAAAATAAGAAAAGACGTTCGATGCGAGAAGCGAGCCGACGAATGGCAAGACCCGGAGCTTATTGTCGGCGAAGGATACGAGCGGATAGAGCAAGTTAACGGTACAAGTCGAACCTATTACCCGGGCACAATGGCAAGGTGCGAGCAAAAAGGTAGCGGCGCGTTTCGAATGCGAGAAATTCCGGGAACCTTAATTGTAAGGAACGTGTACAGTTAGGACGATGTCGACCGCCGCAAAACAGCTTGCGCCCGACGCTTTCGTGTTTTTGGTTGTTCCCCTCGGCTCTGGTCGCGCGAGGAGGAATCGTCCCGCCAGCGAGGTGCAATGGCCCCTGAATGAACGCTACCGTTGCCACACCGCGGTAGCGATCGCGTGAAAATTGCGAACGCTAATTGCCGCAAGACCGGGCTCGGCCCGATCGACGCCGCCATCGATGTATGCATGTGTGTGTACATAGAACGCGGTGCGCCACGGCGTCGGTTAATAATACGAAAGTTATTAATGGTTCGAGTCAATGATCGGCCGATGTGAGATCATTCTATCGGCAGTCAGTACAACACGTGGGTGTATTAAACGGCAGGCGATAGCCGTCTATCGCGGGAACCGAGTGAAATAACAGCGCCGCGGACTACGCTACTGCGACGCGATCGATGCGTTTGATGCATCGACTCTTTCGGAAAAAATGCATAGCGAGCGTACGGTGCATCGGTAAGTCGGCACACCGTGTCTGAGGAGCGTCAATATTTAGAAGAAGCCGGCATTGTACACCGGGATCGGCCGCGGAACGAAAATAACGTCGACCGGCTCGCGTTTACACGGCTACGCGTTACAACAACATTCCTTTGTTAGAAACCAATTCCTTGGCCAATAAGGTTCGACTATGTGTGACTCATAACGCAACTGTTCAGTGACTCAGAGCCCGGAGATTGTTAGCAATGTCCCGAGAAGACGTGGCATCGGAACCTGAATCATGAGAATATCGCTATGACCGTCGGATACCGATATAAGTATATATGTACCTGTTCCCCGACGCTCGACCAGAAACTCTTTACAGAAACTGTGTTACTAAAATACTAAAATAACACCGACATAAAATACTAGAGAAAAAAGTAATAAATAATAGAATTGCTTTCCACGCTAGAATCTGCTGGAAAAAACGACGGTTCCCCATAATTATCGGTGATCTGTTCGTAGCTAACCGATGGAAAGGAAACGATCATGAGCCTGCAATTAGGAACTGGACGAAATGTTTGGGCGTGGAGTAAGACGCGTCGAAATTTAATGATATTAAAATATTGCAATTTATTCGGAATAATAATCGTGCTCACGCAGCACGGAAACACGATTAAGATTAAAAACTAAAAATCCGGCACCTGCTGCCGTTCTCAACGACCCAAATATTTCCGGATTCACCTTGTACCCGAATGTTCCGTACGGTTGAGCCGCTTAACGATTCACCCGTACATCTGTTCGTGAAAAGATCTTTTGTGTTTTCTTTTTCGTAGGTACAGTCGGTTTCCTGTAAGAAAGGCCCTTTATCACACGAAACGATCAATGACGGTCGTAAACCGACCGTTAGGCCTTTGTCGCGTCATTTCATACCTGCAGTGTACGTGCACCGAGAATTATGCTAGCGCGCTGGGCTCGTTTAGGTTCCTACCGAGCTTCGAAACACGTTAGAAAATAGAATGTACTTGGTCGAGAAATAAGTGCCTGCCGAGTCTGATACCAACGTATGCGAGGACGTATCGTGTAATTATATACTATTGATTGCATACTCAGAGATTTTTTCGCTTCGTGGTTTCAGTAAAAAATATCGTTTTATTTGAAATACGTAAATTTGTCGTTATAAAGCAAAACATTAGCGTAAATGCTAAAATTAATGCTACTCGTCGAAATATTCGTACAGTTTAATCATTCTCAACCTTCCTTACAATTAAAAACCTTACCAATCGTAATGCTTATTCTCGTTAATACATTATCTGTACACAAAACGCACTGTCAAACATTACACGCTCTCTCATACGTATACTATTTGTACAATAAAAGTTCGCTATCATGTAAACTGAGCGTGTATTTTGTCGTTTATTCCGCTTCCCGTGAATTTTGATCGGAGAACTCGTCTTCCCGTGTCTATTTTAAAATTCCTCTGTCATCGAACCGTTTATATATATATATATATATAATATATATATTTATATATGTATGGGTACCTATGATATAGCTACGTGTCAAATTATTCCTCCGACATCCGAGCACGAATCAACTTACGTCTTAACAACATTTAGGTCTATTAAGGATTTCACTTTCGAGTATGCATTAGTAATTCGTATAGCGGAAACATGACACACGTATATTCTGCCTCGTAATATAAATGTAACATATCACATCCTGTAAACCTTAAGCATGATCTGGATCATTATAAAATTAGACTTTGCAAGCCACACGAAGGAGGTACACAAGTGTGAACAAGCTCTGTATCTCATGTCAATTAAAAATTCGTACAGATCGCACATCTGGTTTTCAACGCATTTACATAATTGATTTGCATTCTGGTTATGAACAAAAAATATATATATATATATATATATATATATATATATGTATATAGCGACCGAAAGTGATACCCTGCGACAGAACAGTTGAAGTCGTAAAAGCTTTGTATAATCTTGCGCAATCCAATACGTTTATAGAACACGATGAATCGAATAGCATGTTCACGATCGTTTCTCGAAGAAATTTCACAACATTCCGTTGGAAGGATGTCCGTTAAAATATGATGGAAATGATAAAAATATGGTATAATCGTTCCGATTTCCCAATGTTTACTACCTGCACGTTATCTGCAAAGTATTCATAATGTTAATTATTTGCAAACGGCTGACTAGACGTATACTACCTAATATAATAGGTAATCCAGCTATCACTTTCTATGGGTATCGTAGGTTCAGCCACAATGTGGAACAAGACGCGACGAAGCTATACACAAAACTAACTAATAGAGTTTATCCAAAAAGTATGCAGAGCGTCTAAAGATATCCTGTACGATACTGGTAAAAAAGAAGCTGTTCACAACAAAAAATCGAACTTTTTTATCGTGAATTTCATTTTATTTTATTTCACATTTTGTAAAAAAAAAGGTAAGCTTATCTTTATTGTTTTTTACATACTTTGCAAAGGAATGTGTAGATAGTAAACAAGTAAAATGTATTTAAAAGTTCTGTCAAATACGTTTATACAGCATGAACTCACCATTTTAAGATAATCTTGTTTTATTAAACACCTTCAAGATTGTTGTCTAAATGAAGGATCCTGGAAGATTTTCGGTGTTCATTTAATTTTAACGTTTTTCGTCAGCTTTACGTCAGACTATATCAACGATATAAACGTGCAAAATTTCGTAAGGCCACATTCACGGGCTTTGCTGTTTCCGCCCTGTAAGACAAAAAAAAACAGAAAGAGAGAGAGAGGGATATAGAGAGGGAGAGAGAGAGGGAGAGAGAGAGAGAGAGAGAGAAATATATTAATTATTATTGATTTGTTCCATAAAGAAATTGCATTAAATTTCAAATTTCCACATACCTTGTAACCGTACTATGAAAATCAAATAGTTGCTCCGGTTGAGCTGTTGGAGAACCACCCGCGTTTTGCGATGGCATCGTTTTAATGGCTTCTTCTAGACACTTCGACAGCAACTACACAACAAAAATGATTTTATTTGCAAAAGCACCATAGCTATATTTTTCATTTATTAGAAATTCATATCTTTCACTTACTTCTCTATTAGATAGGGATAATTCGACGAAAACATCTGCCACATCGGACAGCATGTAAGAGGATAATGAGAAGACTGACGCATGTAGCAGTCTCATCACTAAAGTTTGTCCTTTCTCCCTCAACATGCGCTGTACCAATTCCCGTCGTATTGAATAGTCGCTTCGATTCTAAAGGAAAATAATGAAACAATCAATATTTATGGGACAGTGAAAAGCAATAGTGTTGATCTCTAAACATACCTCGTTGTTACGGCCGCAATGGAAAAGATCGTAAAAGAATTTCATTACAGAAACATTTGCGTCCCTATGGTCTAAACTGCAGGCCATTAAGGCACAGTCGATTATACTACCTATCATAGCGGAGTGTAAGAAAGGGATGGGAGCCCTTCGTAAGAATCTGTTGAGTAATCGTATTTGTTTAAGGTCAAGCCCGAAGAAAGGAATTTTTTCTAATTTAGTTTGGTATTAACCAGTCTTTATACCTGGCACATAGTCTAAAAAGATCGTCCACCGTGTCTGGATGATTTTTTAATCCGTCCTGTTGTTGGAGAAGATTAAAGGTAGGCCCGATAAATGCTTCTAACATTGCTAATAAACCAGAAACGCATTCCGGATCGATAGCGTATTCATCAACTAATATTGATCCAAGATATAAAAAACAACTGTGTTGATGCGCCGAATATAATTGCACAATCTGAAAATTTACGAAGCGTTGAATCAAGCTGTTGAATAAAAACTGGAATTGCAACGATTATTACGGATACAGACCTGTTTGACGAGCGGTTCGAGAAGATGGGCGGAATGTTTTCCTACGCAACGCACAGCAAATCTCAAACAGCGACAGCATCTTTCCATCACTTTCGCATCCTGTTGATATGTTGTACATACATTCGACAGTATCGGCCACATCTGTAATTGATAAAAACAGAAAGATGTGAAATATTGATTCTTGAATTAATGTTAAGTTTCCAAGACTTACTTCGGTAACGGCGCTCTGACAAGGATGAGGTTCGTTAGGATCATCGATTCGAAGGTCGGTATGTCTAAATATAGCAGCTAATCTATCTAGCCATATCAAAGGATCAGTCTTTGTTCCTGTTTCAATTGGAATTCTACGTTCCATGATTTCACAGAGCGGCCTAGCTTGGAACCAACATAATTCTTTCATTGCTTGAGTAATTTCATCGCGCGGTAAGCTAGACATGATTATTGCTACGCCTATTGCAGAATAAAAAGTATCAAAAATCATTAGTCTCGATAATGTCTTTCTGTAAAACTGGACACCGTCTTACCCTTCAATAAACCAATGGCTGCGTCATTGCTGATGGCGAAACTGTCGAGGGAACGTGCAATTTGTAACAATCCTGGGAAATGAGAGGCCATGTGTAAAGGACAAGCTGTGCATATACTCAATAATGCACCGCAAGCCGCACTTCCTAACCCTTTTTGACTTAGGCAGGTCAGGAGGAAATTTAAAACAGGTTCTAGAACAATCGTTTCGTATGAAAAATGTGTAAACTATTGAAATAACGATTACACCAGTAGGAAACTTTACCTAGAGATTGCGGATGATTATCTATCCATTCACAGAGTTCTCCTAATAAAAGAATACTCGTATGACGAACAGCTATGTGTGTATTCTCAGGTAAATTTAAGATAGCTTCTACTACTTTTGGAACTACGTCATTTTCTTTTCTGCAAATAAACGACTTGGTCAATCGATGGAAATACCATGCATGTATTCTGTGGAATACCTGAAAAGACTCACGGTAAAATATTTTTTGCAACTGCTTGCATTACAAACAATGCAGCTTCAGTCGAGTCCCACGTAGGTACATGATTAGGTTGCCCCTGTGGGCTTGGGCCACCCGTTAGAGAAGAAAACATTTGTCGGAAACAGTGGCTGCTTCCAACAACAAAGACGACATCTTTTATTAACTCCGATACCCGATTTCTAAAATCAGCGAATTCTTCTCCGCCAGCACCCTCCTCTACTAGACCCAGCTATCAAATAAAATTGAAGTATGTAACGTCAAGATTCGAACAAAACTAATCTACTTAAATATCTATCACTAACATGGTCTGGTTCCATTTGACAGTGTCTGCAGAGAGCTCCGATTAATCTCTCAATGTGAGGTCGAAATACAGCATTGAGGTCATCGCTATTTCTTTGATGAAGAATTTCGGATAAGCGATACCACAGATTAAATGTTATTTGTGCCACCTGATACAAAAATATCTTGTCGAAAATCGAAAGCAAACTGTTTCATGGAGTAAAAGAAATATAATGGTAAATACCTCGTAGTCGTGATGGCCAACACATACTAAAACAAGGTCCAGAATCTTAATCGCATAATGTTGCTTTCCTCCGACACAGCCATTTATAATTGTTTCTAAAAAGGTTTCAGCTAATTCCGTAAAAATTCGGCAATAATTTATCGACCTGAACAAATTTGTTGTCGTTAATAAAGATATGTTTGAAAATATTTTGACAAATTATGCTCACTAATTCGAGAAAAGTATTAAGAAATTGTTTACTTGTCCATATCTTCGCATGCAACAGATAAGTGGTAAGGTTGTTCCAAAGCTACTACACTAGTAAAAAGCCACAGTTGCAGTTGTTGTAACTGTATAGTTGATTCGCTATTGTTATCACGGTTGCTATTACTATCTTCTTCTAGGACTTGTAGAATGACGCATATGCAATCTGCAGCTGGTTCATGTAGTGAAGATAGGGCCGAATGATTTCCAAGTATCTAGAGACCAATTAGCCATTAGACTTGAAAATTTCGAGAATTTACAATTACTAAAACAAACTCACTTGAAGTGTATATACAATAACATCGCTCGTAGGTACAAGAGGGATAGCATGCACTGCGATCCAACTTGTAAAACATCTAAGAATTGTACTACGTATATGTATACCTTGTCCACCGTTCTTCAGACACATTTTCTAAAAGTTAAATACGTATTAATGAGTGATAATAAAAAACTATTTAATCTGTATCATCTTACTTACAAAAAATTCAGTTACTGTGTCTGCACTTGCATTGAGCTCTTGTAATACATGTTGTCTGCGATTGGCTCCTAGTCTATACGATTATATTTAAATCAGATTAAAAATTGAAAATTCAGTTGATTCATACTGTATCGTTAGTTAAAACTCTGTTACTATACCTAAGAGATCTTGAATTTACTTCTTCCGGTAATACTGTCATTACTTCCAGTAATGCCCATAAATTATTAGTTGATCCTCCAAATCTATTGATTAAATCTACAACTGGTTTTTGCCATGAAGACATTTGCAGCGCAAGATCAGCCAATGCCAAACATAACTGTAATCAGAATTAAAATTAAAATTAGAATTATGCGAAAGAAGACAGTGTAATGTAAGATATTAAGAAATACAATAAACCTGTGTAACAATGGCTGGATTTGTGTTTTCATTAGTTTGTGATATGTGATTCATTAAAGAATCTCTCAGAGCGATGTGAGCTTCTGGGGGTAGCTCTTGAAAACTCAATTGTATTTTAGTGCGCATTGTCTGTGCAGCAAAATAACAAGACTGTATGTCTCGTTTTTGCAGCAACATTTCGTTCGCTATTTTCCAAGCAAAAACCTAAAGTAACACATGAATAAAACAACTGTTACTTTGAACAAGTAAAGCTCCATGAAAATTTAACGAATAAATATCAATACACGATAGATAAGGTTAGAAATTACTTCGGCTATTCTTATTTTACAAATGTTCTTTTACACGGTCGTTCTAGTACAGGTTTAACAATAGTCGTTCAATTCCTGTGGTAGCAAAACACAGGAATTGCAAAATATATAAGATCAGAGAATAGTTAGCTAGAGTCAATGAAAGACCGCTAATAAGTAGCTCACCGATTTTTGTAATTCGTCCAACCATTTGGATGTTTTCGAAAGATCCGAATAATTGTATAAGGAATACACGGCCTGGTAGACGGTTTCCAGGTCAGGTGGCAACTCCATTCTTCAAATAATATTCGTTTTCTTTGTAATCTCCATACAATTCTCTCACTGACAACAGAACGGTCGCGTTTACTAGACTCACATCCAACCTATAAAGACCAACTTGTACAACCACGAAAAAGTTCTCATTCAAGCATATTCTGCTCATGTCAGTGCATATTCTGCTTTATCGACTTATAACAAACAATTTTTACATACTTTTCAAACGCTCATTGCCCGAAATATACGGTGCAAAATACATGCATTTATGAAAAATTCTCTTCCTATACATTGTATACACATTAATCGTAAAATGGAAATACAAATATGTGTATATGCAAAATATTATTCTTATCACTGGTAAGTTATCAATGGAGACTACCCTATATACGTGAATGTCATTGAAATATCTTATTTCTATGATACCATTATTTTTAATCTGCTCGCATTGTTATTTATACGTATGATTAAAAATTTAAATGAAAATGCCGACGAAGTAGGACATCTGACGTTAATAAGTAAAAATGTTAGTTACAATTTAATTTACAATTAAAAAATTTCAGCCCTATTGAAACATATACAGATTCTGATGATAGGTTAGTTTTCATCTTAAACATTGTATGAACATTTAAACTGCGTATTTCTTAACCGATACTTATGATTCGTAAATTTGTAAATGATTTGCAATGTAACAGAAATTCAAACTCCCCGCCGTTCATATGTTATCTGCGGAGTGTTTCGGAAGGGAATACATACGTGTGCCTTCTATAGCTGAGAAATTGCGGTATTTCTGTACACCATGCTAACATGAGTTCTACATGATCTGTGCGAGCGATGCGTCGAAAGTTTATGACGTTTGACAATTGGATAATAAACACAGGGAATAACATTTGAAAAATACAATGAATGATTATAAAATTCCGATAATCGAGCCGACTATCGATTACACAAAGGTGCAAATATTCGTCTCCGACTTTTTTTCTTATCGCTTAGTAATGCTATCACACGTAAAAATCATTTACATTTTTCTTAGATTTCTTTTTCGCTTATCTTAGGTTCCGCCGATCAATCAAAAAAGGACTATTTCATTTATTAATCATTTCATTGTGCACACTGTCACATTCCTTAATAAATTTGCATTGTCTTGCGAAGAGAGATTATTCGAATTTGAAAATAAGTTACAAAGAATAGAAGCTTCTTTAGAAATTCTAGAATCTTGGGTACGTAGGAGCTGTTGATGATTTCTAATGCATGCGACTTCTGCAAATGTAAGTAATCTGTACATCTTTTTTGTAGTTGTCGTCTGTTCCTAGTCCGGACAAAAATCAAGATAACATCCAAGCTCCCGTTAAGAATAATGACAATGTGCAAGAAGAAAAGAGTATACCAAAAGTAGATGAACCCGATACTACTGTGCAAGGTGAGCCTACAGACATTCAAACCAAAGAACAACCTGTAAATAAAGATCCTCGGTATGAAAAGTATCTTAAAATGTTACACTTCGGCGTACCGAAAGGAGCAATTAAGTTAAAGATGGAACAAGAAGGATTGGACTCGACTGTACTGGAGTAAATTCTAATTGACTTAACTCAGAACATTAATCATTAAAACTCTAGCCAACAATTATATGTAATAATACTTTACAAATCACATCTACTATATACATATAGATGTTAAGGTGTAACAAAGTCAATCTATAAATCAAATTATTCTACATACATAAGAAATAATCAACGATTATGTTGGTGTCCATGTTCTGATGTTTAAGTAGTTTTTAATCTTGTAATATGGTCCAGTGCATTGAAACGGTGCTTGTTTTTTTTTTATCTTGACAGTGATTCCCAGCAAATAGTTTTTAAGCCGAAGTCTACATATAATGGTGAGAAAAAAGGGGATTAAATGATTAGTTGTATTCAGGTGTTAAGCATGAGAAATATTTTTGCATTATAAGACAGTTAATAAAATAAACTATACAAATTCGAAAAGATTTATTTCATTTCTTATTAAATACATACAGAAAGTTAATGCATATAACTTCACCCTAGAACTGGATCATCTGACCCTGAAAAATATCAAATGTTATGTTAACAATTGCTTGATTCCTGGAATAATTTCATTGATAAGTATTTAATGAAAGGTGCTTACCTTTCTCTTCTTGTCACCTCCTAATTCAAAGTGCTTGCATCTCTTAAGAGGTATCTGTTTTCTATATTTGCATTCTGTGCATTCCATTCTTAAGACAATTTTCTTTGTAGTTTTTGCCTATATGTAGTATTATTCGTATGAAGAGTATGTTTTCTTTGCACTGTTAATTAAAAATGTTAATACATACCTTCTTCCTGAAAATAGGTTTGGTTTGACCACCAAAACCTTGCTGCTTACGGTCGTAACGTCTTCTTCCTTGAGAAGCATGTCTTTCCTTGCTTTTCTTATACTGTGTCACTTTGTGAGGCTTATGTACTTTGCACTTTTTGCAAAAAGTACGTCTTTGCTTCGGTACGTTCACCTAGAAGCACCAAAATCTACAAATTACACTGATGTATAGAATAATTATCTTGCAATATAACCCTGAGTTCAGACATTTTGAAATAACTACAGATTATACATTTATACAAATAACTACATATTCTTTCATTTAATTCATGTCGACTGAATCACTTTTTACACTTTTGCATCGTAAAAATTAAAACATTCTATATGCTTTCTGTCATTTATCGAGGTTATGGTTTCACTGAGACAACATTGACTAATGTTCGACAGAATTATTAAATATTGCATTCACTTTTCAGAAAATAATATGTACACTTTGAATCTAAACGTTGTAAATAGCGTTGTTCAAGGATTGGAGCTGTAATTTTAGATGAAATAAGCATATTTTTGATCACGACTCTACCTACCATCTTGGATATTTGGAAAGAAAAGGAAACGTATTTAAACCGGAAAATGGTATGTAAACGCACATTGCGCATGCGCTTGTAGTCATACGTTTTACAGAATTTAGAAATTTAATGTTGTTTGTTTTTTCATGTACGTGTTAGTACAATTATTAATATAATATTATTCGATCAAATTCAATTTGTACGATATTATCGGAAAAGTGAATATCATATTTTTTACGTTCCTTCAAACATAACATTTCGATTGCATACACGCCATTAACAGCCGGCGTCAAAATCGGTTTAATATATAAGACGTCTAATCAATAACAGCAATTGTGTATAATGTTTTTCTTCTTGTTAGTTTTTATTCACAAGTAATTTGCAAGTAAGCAATTGTTTTTTTGCAATGCAATATAATTAATATATAAAAGATACGAAATTCTAATACACTTGGAAAGACAATCTACATATGTATATGTACACACGATAAAGATAAAACTCGTACCGATCGACTATTGCGACACATTCTATTTGATTATCCATTTAGAAATCGAGTACTTAATCGAATTTATATTTACATTAAGTTTTATCAATTATGATATACATTTTCAAACTCGGTTATAGAAAAATCGCATTAGTATTTTACGAGGTTAGAAACTACTCGGTAAAAATTTGATGCATATTTAACAAAGAACGTGTGTTCAATCATTTTTAAGTGGCAGGTGTGTGGTCCGATTATTTTAAAATCTTTGCTGCTTCACTTATAGGATAATTCCCGCCATCGAGTTTATAATACGTTCTCCCGAAATCTATGTTCCGGTCGATTAATTGCGGATCGTCGACTAAACGATACTATTATATTCTAGAAAACATTAATTTACCTATTCCGTCGATCGATTTTTCGCAATGTAGAAGTTGAAAAAGAATTGTTGAATGAATCGCAGTTACGAAGCGTATTCGAATCGAGTAACTTAGCCTCGAACCAGACGTCGAACCGAGGCCACGAACTCTCGAACCCCTCGTCCTCGGCAGGATTTAATTTTATTTATACGTCAGGTGGACGGATTACGTAGAAAACGTACATAAGAAATAATAAAAGATTACGCGGCGTTATAACGTTGCCAATTAGGCGCAGTGACACGTACCGAAACGACATTAAGGTTTCAACCAATCAGGCATTTATCGAGTTTCAAACCCGCGCCATCTTCATTTTTGAACAAAGCCAGGTTGGATGTGCTAGGAGCGAACCGAGACCGGGTAGTAGTCAGCTTTGCGCTATTCGCGCCACAGTCGTCAGTACACGATACTCTCCACTCCTGACTGGTTCGACTCTGTCTCACCCTCCTTTCCCCTCTCTCTCTTTCTCTGTCTCTCCCCCCTCCGCCCCTTGGGTTTTCGCCTGACGACGCTGCTCTCTCGGGCATTTCGCCGGAAACCGACGCCGCGCGAGGACACACGGAGTTTCGTTACGTGTTACACACGCCACCGCTCTATATCTTTTTTCCACCGTTTTGTAAGCGGACACGCAGGCATCTTGCCCAACACGCATCTATTCACCATGAGTACTAAGGAAAACAACGAGGTCGCTGTCGAGAAGGTGACCGAGAACGACAAGGCTTCCGGGGACGCGAAGTGTGAGATCAAAGGAATCAAGAGGCCGGCCGAGGTGAGTCGTGTCTTGTTTTTTTTCTCTCTCTCTCTTTCTCACTCGCTCGCTCGTTCACTCGCTCGCTCCGTCTATGTGTATCTCTCCCTCTCTCTATCTCGTTCGATTTCACGTAATATCGTGTATATTATCAATTCTCGTAATTAGTACGTAAGGCATATACCTACCGTCTTAAAAGCACGTACGACTACGCGCCGGCTTTACACCATGCTTCCGCGCCACGCTGCTCGGTCACGGCATCGTCTACGATTTCACGGAATCATCGTTATCATAATACTTGGCCGATAGTTATTTTCGAGATCTCGATCGTCCTCGTAACACGTTTTCCCGCTCAAAAGGGTTCGCGCCTAGATATTCGTGGCATTTAATAGATCCGCGGGACATCATTGGGATATTATTCACGGTGTATCGTACTCTCGGGAACCAGGTTGGTGGGCGGCGGGCAGTCGAGTGGCCGTTTCGACTGACTGACGGCGCGGAAGAAGATAGGATGCCGGCCGGCATTTTCACTGGGTTCTATACTTTTGCTCGTCTCCTGAAACGCGACCATTTTCCCGCTTCGTGGCAACTTTGAAACGTGCGTGTGAAACGCGGCAACGATGTTTTCCCGGTACAGAGTCGAAAGGGACGCCATCGCATTTTGCGTGGCTGCCACGAGCACGATGGATCGTTCGGTTGATCACCCCTGTCGTTACAATGCCGTCTATAATTACCGATCTGGATTTCATGTTACCGTCTAATATCGGAACGAGCGTCATTATGCTCTTCCATTTTGCTCGGTACATCGTTGAAAATTTCGGGCGGGATCCTCGCGGGATGGTCGCTAGCACCATGTGCTCGATTCACAAGGTTTTCGTTATTTATACGTCCTCATAACATTCTTACTATTTATTACTGACCCGATGTTTCGAATTTAATCTATGCCAAGCACGATCTACATCGTTTCGGTATTGTATCTGCAAGATGGACGCCATTTTTAATGTAGAATATCAGAGTTATAGGTAGGAAAAGCGAGCATCCCGCGCATTTTTCCGACCGCCGTCGTTGCCGCCACCACCACCGTCGTGGGTTTCCATTATGGCGCCCGAAACCAAGCCCGCGTTCACTGTGCTATCTCGCTCGCACTCGTTCCATCTTCTCTCTCTCCCTCCCTCCATCCTCTCCTCTCCTATCCTTTCCCTTCTCACACCCTCTCTTTCTATCTCTGTTTCTCTCTCCCTCTCTCCCTCTTGCACGCTCTCTCGCTCTCGCTTTATGTGTCGTAATTGATCGATAATTCGTTATAAGAGGGTTAATCGTGTCTGACGGACGATCGATAGACTACCACATATCTCTTTCAGGTCGACGTGTTGCTCTGAAATTGTTTACCGATCTGCGTGCATAAACACCGCGTTGAAGGCTTCCTTCCTTGCTTTGCTCTCTGTCTCTATCTCTATTTCCCCCGGTATCGTTTTGTCTCTCTCTATCTCTCCCCTCCCCCTTCTGTCCTCGAGTCTACCGGTGTTCAACCGAACTGTGTCTCTCTCTTTCCCTCGAGAACCCCACGCGCGCAGCCAGCGGCACCGCCATGTATTATATACCCATGTCTCTCCTGCCTCCCCATTCTTTCGTAGTATGCCGCGCGGTGTTACGAACCTTCGAGAAAACATCGACACGATTTTTCATCTTAAATCGGACCCGACTCGTTCCACGTATCATGATAGCGGCGTCTTTATTTTTGGTCGATAATACGCGTGTTGCACGAGCAACGGCGACGCGGGACTCTATTATGGGGACCGCGAGGTGAAACTCGTTACCGAAAATGCCGGCATCGCCCCACGCTTTCGTCGTACAGTCGCGTATATATCGTAGATAGTATCATCGTGGTTGTGGCGTCCCCGCGCAGCGGCAATAATATGTCACGTGGAAACCACGACGACACGGCGGTATATCTGTTCAGAAACGAATCGAACCATCGTTATCATCACGATTATTATTTTGGTCGCGTCTATTGCTGTTCTTTTATTTTCCGGTTGGCATATTGGGGAAATACCATAACACGGCCTCGTCGCATTCTTCCCACGTTACCGTTTCGAGCCGATTGATTTTTCCTAGATTCTCCGATCCTCTCGGATGCGAAAATTCATTCGCAGCAGAACTATTGACGCATCAACGTTGTGCTCCGATTACGTAGTCACGTAGTAAATTCGATGAATATTATCTAGTACTCGCAGAGACACTATGTGACGCAAGCGCGTACCATATTAAGAGGAACGTGGAAGGAAAGGAAAAGGCGGGAATTACGAACAGCGACTAACCACGATAATTGTAAAGTTACACAACGTGACGTAATAAATCGTTAGTAACTCGTGGACAACTATCGGTGATCTTGTATCGCGGCGAGCTAATTGTTCGATATTTAGTCGATTAATCCATTACTTTGAACGTACTTAACCCATTTTGGCGGTAAAATGTAGCCAGAGAGAGGATATTTAGGATGAATAGGATTAATCAACCTGCTTACCCCCGATTTACATTAATATTACATGATTCTTCGATGCACGCGCCTCTATAGAGTTTTCTATCGAACAGGTGACACCGTTTTCCGTCGGTAAACAGAGTCGCCGACTCTGGTGGCTCGGAATATGGTTAAATTGATATGTGTTCTCGACGAATTATATAACGATTGATCATGGTATATCCAGACGGCCGAGAGAATCGAGCGGGAACGAGTACATACGATAGGTTATGAACGTTGGGTTATCTGCAAAGACCTCGTGATTAGTAACGAGTCGATAGGTAATCGTGTCTGTGGGATAACGGACAGAACACCACAGTCGTTTCATGACCATTGGCACGGCGTCTGTACGTCACTGTCACTTGCCGTTCGGTGTAAACTACCCGACAACGCCATCATGCTATAGCGGTAGTTGCCAACGGATTCTACGGTTTGAAGAAAGCGCGTCAAGTTTCAGAGAGATGTCGCGCGTCATAACGCTCTGTCCGACATACAATGGCTTCATGAATTACAAGCCGCTTTTTTTTCTCTCCATTGATTTGCGAAACACGCGTAACGCGTACCCGAATCGAAGGATATTTTCATTCATAATATACACCGTGAATTATATACTTGTGGACAGTTACGCTGAAAAATCTACCAGACCTCGACTGATATTTATATGTCCGTCTCGGTATACTGGTTTATGAAATGAGATATTACGTTCCGTTTGATAAGGACGCTCGATAATACGAGACACGGTTACCTTGAAGCGCGACACAGTCTCGTTACAATTTTAATATAATGCGATTAGAGAGTGTTGGAGTACGTTTATTCGAACATACGCCTCGCACGGATTTTCCTTGTAATTAGAATTACGCATTCTTTTTATTCCTCCGAGTAAACTTTACAACGGCTTGCTTCTGTGTGTATGATACCATGGGCACGCTGTTTCGTGCTTCTCTCGTCCCCTCCCCGTCCCTCGTTTGTATGTGCTATACGCGGCACGAACACATCCCTTCTACAAACATGTGTCGTAGCCGTGTCTGCCAATCCCTACGCTTCTCCCACCATTCAGTCTCTTAGTCGATTCCTCCCTTTGATTGGACGATGCAGTTCTCCGAGTTTTCTATGCCCTCTTTCCTCGTACCCCGCCGATACACACGCTGCGTGTGTATATACCATTACCGACCAACCACCACCACCCTGATCAGAAGAGTAACGCTGTATGAACACGAGTTTAAGGTGTACACCGGCATTTCGAGAATCGTTCAAAGCCATTCCATACTTTTCGAAACTGTCTGCTTGTTTCCGTTTATCACGGCCGCCGCGATTCGATACGAACCTCCTTGGTCACCTCGCAGACACCAACAGTAGATAAGATTGAAGGTTCAATGGAATAAGTTTTCGGTTTCGGAATAAATATCAAGAATCGAGCGGAGAAATTGAACTGGCGTGTTCGTTCCCGCTGAAATATCACGTTGAGTCTAGAATTTCCAGCCAGGACAAAGTTTTGTCGAAAATGCGAAAGCATCGATAACAAAATTTCTATAAACGATAAGAGCTTTTCGTTGCAAGATAAGAGTTCTATAATAAGCTGCACGGTTACTTTGATGTCAATGATGTTTATCAGGTACTCTTTCATTGCTGTACAGTTTTTTTTTTAACGACCGCCTTGCGAACGTATGCATGTAAATTGCCGTATCTTCCAGCGAGTACAATTCCCCCCATCGTTTCTTGTGTTTTCCTGTTCCGCCATATTTGAACGGAAGGTCCCCCTACTTTCCTTTCCGTGTCTTTGCGTTTCTTGGCGGGAAGGGAATCCTCTTCGTCCGTTTTCTCCCCTCCCTTTGATCTTTCGGTCATTGCCGAGGGCTTTCCCTATTCGTGATGGTCTCCCACTTGTTTCCACAGCGATTAACTTCCAAATATACATAGAGAGACGAATGGGAGTTCGAACGGAAGTGGTTAATTTCTATTTTTATTTATGTCGCAAACGGTACCGACATACGGACTAATTTAGCTTCGAATCTAAATCAAGTGTTTTCGTATTACAGGAAAAGAACGATGACACGAAGAAACAAAAGAAGGAGGAGAACGGCGATGGAGAAGTAGAGGAAGAGGAGATTGAAGAGGAGGTTGAAGAGGAGGAAGAAGTGGACGGCGATGGCGAAGAGGATGACGAAGACGACGACATGCCAGAAGGCGAGGAAGATTTAGAAGAGGGCGAAGGTGAGTAACTAACCATTTTCCCGATGATCTTGGTCGATGGATGCTGTTGTACATAGATTTGAATGGTACGCGAATGGATGTCCGCCCGGTTCTATGCTCGTGTGTAAACACGTTTCGCTATATAGAGTCGTTTTCAAATTTTACAGATGAAGAGGAAGACGATGCAGAAGGTGAAGTAGAAGGAGAAGTAGAAGACGAAGAGGAAGACGCATAATGAAAAAAGGGAAGGAAGTATGTAAGTAAGAAGGGAGGTAGGCACATGGTGTTGTCGTCGATCTTCGGCAGTCTTCTCAGCAAACACTTACTCTCATATTGAGTGGTTGGTAGCAATGTTGATATATCCATCGTGCCCGAAAACCTGTAATTGCTGGAACCTCCCAACCTACGAAAGAAAATTACCATCTCACCAGAGTTGTGGTGGGCTGACACGCATTAAAGGCAGCCGCAATTCTGTAGTCTTGGCTCTTCGCAATTCTGGTCGTCTAGCCATCACCAAATGCTGTTAGGTAGTTTGAATGAAAACCATTGATTCGTCGTCGCAGGGATGCATGAACGCGTCGATTCCGTTTAATATCACGTTTCAAGTACTTGGCGCGCACGCACGTTCGGTACCGATCGTACAGGGTTTCCGATTTGACGAATCTATTGTTTTCTCCAAACCACCTGCTAACTGGTATTTGCCGACATCTGGCTTATCTTCGCGGGACAGTTTTATAACGAAAACTTATTTAAGATATAAAAAGCTCTATTGTATTTAAATAGTGTAAAATGAACATTTGTGGGTGATGATTTTTTTACATTTGAAATCAAATTTACGTTTGTAGTTTGACGAATGTCTCTCACCTTGTGCGCGTGATTAATTTTCCTTTTCTCGACCTACAAATATATTTGCAATGATATTGCAGGAGCGCGAGCGATTTCACAAAGTGAGTAAAAAAAAACAAATGAAACGAGTGGAGCCGAGAATAAGAATAGCAAAGTAACTAAACAGATGCAAAAGTATATTCAACGTATACTATTATTCAAAGAAAAAGAGAAGCTTAAATGGTCTCGAAAACTCTGTCTCGTGCTCCTGTTTGATCTGAAAACAAAAATTAAAGTTGCTGCAACGCTCGCGCCAGGTAGTGTGGATGAGTAATGTGTGACTTTAACATTGCGTAATAATTATACATAGTATGTATAAAGTTACGAAATAAGAAACATTTTATTATTAACGATAACATTATGTAACGTAATGTAATGTGGAGAGGTTGTTACACTTTAGACTCAGGGCATAGAGTAGGGAGAGATTTATCATTTTTCTTTACAAGATTGCAGAATACTTTTTATTTCCTTGATGAATGTTCTCTTTTCGGTTCTTGTTATGAGTTTGTGTATCGTAAAAGTAAAAAGAGTTCAGGTCTTACTGCTCACCGTATTATCTTCAAAAGAATACAGAAGGAACAAAATGTTTGTGACAATGCCACGTAATCAAAAAGCCACTCTCCCTATTCGATTGCTCTTACTCGAACATAATTCAGTTGTATTTTACGTACTGTGGTTTTATTTTGACTTTGTCATGGACTGCTCATAGCAATGATTCGTTGACTGCCGCGGAACGAGTGACAGTATTCGTTTACTACAGAACTTCTTCCTAGAAAAAAATTTATTTTTTTTCCCTTTAATAATACATTCTCTCGTGATTCGTCACTTATTACCAATCGCCGAAAGATACTTTTCAATGCTAGAGTCGGTGGATCGTTGCAAATTGAATGTCCATGTCACACCACTTATTTCGGGAGACTGGTAGACAAGAAAGGGTGATGAGACATTGCGGTTACGATACCATTGTACCATAGCTGCATAATAAATAAAGGTAACGATAATTTGAATGCGAGACGATGTCCCACGTTTTAATGTACAAATATTTTCGAATGAGGTAGTTAAATAAAACGCAGTTAGATCAGAGAAAATGATTCGTTCTCGTGAGTAGTAATGGGTATAAACCATCCGGAGACAAATTTACAGAAATGGCAGTATTAAAGTGAAAGAAAAACTGCTGTTCGTGGACTGAATCCTGCTACACTGAATCCAAGGAGATGGAATGGACTATGTAACGGGTGTCGATATAATATAGAAACAACATTTTCATTCGATGTATTCATAAACGATAGGTGGCAACAAAATTATTCGAGTGTGTACACCGTTAAAAAATGAAGCCTGAGGCGTAATTAATAATCGATCATTGTACCGTTTATCGGCCATACCATCTCCGGAACTCTGTTACTCGACGGTTTTATACACAATCCGCTGCTGTATTTACACGTGTTCACTTCAAGATAGTACCTTGACGATCATGTTGACAAAGAACTATCTTAAAGTTACAGGTGCCTGAGCAAAAATGAGTACTTTAGCGTTCATAGTATACAATACACATACACTATAAGCATAGGTCCATTTAATTTTATTATTACAATACCAAGCCCCGTTTGCAACATGTCCGTAAAGGGAAATAAGAAGGACTCGCGTCCTGTAGTTCGAGCCTCGAAGGGATCATTATTTGCTCTCGCTCGATTGCTAGACGTGACTGAAAATTATTTACTGGTGCTAACGGGTCTTAACAATCAATCAGGCAGATCGCCCAGATACCGTTACATCCCTACGTTCGTTAGGTAAGCATTAAAAGAAAAAAGAACAGAAAGAAAAAGAAACTGGAATTTAAGGATCTTAGTGAATCTGGTAACGAAACGTGTTTCACGATTAAACGTAAACAAAATCTTAGGCTAAGAATTTGGTTTGTGTGTTCATAAGTCTTGTTCAAACTACTTTTGTACAGGATACCATCGCATCATCACTTTCGACGTAACAGTAAACACCACAGACTATATTTCTGCCCATTCCATCAGAATTGAACTTTCATTGTATTTTTAAGTAAATACATTTTGGAAAACAACACAAATGGTTTTTTATTCTTCACGTATTTGTGAAGGAACGAGTCTCTTCCCTAGAAATATATTAGTCTATAATTCTTGGATGATTAGTTTTAACTTTATCCTAGGCTACTTTAGAATACTATGATATTCTTATATCACTTTGTACATAAGTATAAGAATTAAGAGGTGTGAGAGGTGACATATGTTGTAAATAGTTAAGGAACAATTCACAATAAAATATGATGTACGTAATGAGTATGTGATACATTTGACTAAATGATACTGAAGTTCAATATACGTGTTATCTACACATAATTGTATGTACAATTACAATACACACCTAGATGTAATTTTATATGTACTAAATGTATGTACCTGTGTATAATTTAATTTGTATCAGATACTGTTTATTTATAAAATACTCTGTGTAATTATAGTACTGACTTTAAGGTGATATTTAGTAAATGGTACTGAGATACTATGGTCTCGAGTGTATTCTGTATATATAGTTATAATCTGCGATGAAAAGAACACATTTTTTCTTTATGTATTTGCAAAATAACATATGATTCTGCTCTATGTTTAGGACAGATATTTATTTAAAGACGAATCAACGTGCCTGGACGGAATGTGTATTGGAGTTTTTATATCCGGGGTATACATAAAAATGGGAGCAGAGCATTTTGTGCTTCGATATATTATCTACTAATATAAAACTATATTTACAAGTTTGTAGTAAATATAAGTGTGTAAAAAGAATAAAAGTCGTATATTTGAATAAGCGTACCATAGATGTGTAAGAAATATTGTTTATTCATGGGGTGTTCATTCTTCCTAAACAATTATGCTTTGTACGAATATTGCATGCAGATTGTCTTTTACAATATACAATGTACATTTTTTGTTCATTATAAGACTTTATTTCATATAATCGTGGTGCATGTCGAGACACTTTGCATGCACGCCAAAACGTGTAGATTTCGATACACTTTGATCACAGTCACAGCATTTTATGTATATATTAGAGTTAGATCGATAAATATTTTAATTTGTGATGTTAAAAAGGTTGAATCTCAGAGACCGTACAAAATTATTAACAACGTTTAAAATAGACGATCAACTTATAGTAATATACAATCAGTGATGCAATTTTATCACAACCAATTAAATACTAATTACTTTTATAATATAATCCTTAAAAGAAATGTTCAACTAACGTTTTCGCAACGTACGTTTGTATGTCAGGATTGATAAAATTTCCGATTTCTTTTTATTCGTTAACTTCCTGTCTCGATTTGTACATGCTGTTTAAAGTGCTGAGTTCTGCAGTAATTCTTGTAAAACTGTCCGTCATGTTACTGCTTTCTCCATTATTTGCCCCTTGGTTTGCACCTTTGCTCGTTTCAGACTAAATCGAACAACTATTTATTTCCTTTTCTATTTTATATTATCAGAAGCAGCCAGGTTGATTAGCGAACGGTATCAACAAATGTACCTTATTAGAATCTGAGATGGACAATCCACTGGATAAGTTCTCAGAGAGAGCGGTACCAATAGCAGCAAGTTCTGCTGAATCAAGTTGATTCAAACTTGACATAAAACTGTATTGTTGTTGACTGTCCATGTCTAAAACACTTGTGGCATCTGCTGCCCCAACTCTACCTGTTGAATCACAAATTTGATTAGTATTCCAATGTAATATCATTGAATCTATAGCTTCAAACATTGTCAATAATGTTACCAGTGGCATCTAGTTCTAAGCCTTGATAAGTGGGTGTCACTCTATCCATTAACAATTGTTCCTGCAATTGTACTGGCGACGTGTCTGGTATATTATACGGAAACGTTTGTTGTACTATAGGATCATTCGTTGATGGATATTGATGTGGTGATAGCTGTGCTTGAACAAGATGTGGGCTGTAGGCATTGTATTGCATAGGTGACGGCGTACGACCTTGGGGTGGTACTGGAGGCCTGTATGACATATTTCAAATTGTACTAATTATACGTTTAACAACTTGTAAGCATTTGAAATTTTACTAACAAGTTACCTGATTGTCTGCATTGCAGGGTAATGCTGTGGGGATGTCTCCACGGAAAAAATCGGAAAAGATCCTCCACTTGCGCCTGGATTGCCGTACAACGATATCCTGTCGATTGGTTCTGGTTTGATAATGTTAAAACAAGGTTGATTCAATATCCCAGCATCTACAATATCATTAAACGAATAAACAAATACATCGGCGAATTAGTTGAAGGTAAGCTTTCCTGCTACTTTGTTATAGCAATGAAATACTTGCAATATTTTCTACTACTATCATCCTGTGATACTGTATTCATTTCCATGCAAATAATGAGTAAAAGAAAAACAAAAGCAAAGCGTAAAATTAGAGAAGGAGATTAGTAATGGAGATGATACATGCAAGTTTATATACTTTCACGCAAAACGACACTCAAAAAAAAAAAATGTGTAACTCGTATTGCAATAATAAATGCGGTAAACGGGATTAGCAAAAGTCAGCAAACTGAATGAACATTATCACGTCGTACCTGCGAGTTTTATAAGATTATTCTAATCTGAAAATGTTCGGGAACGAAATAAAAAATACGGTTTACACATTGTCAAGTGATTGTACGTATATATATATATATATGTATATATATAGATAGATATATTATGCATATGTAAGTCATACAATATATAGATATAACTTTTCTCTGTCAAAGAAGCAGCTTATAAAAATTGTATTACCATACAAATATTGCACATAGTTTCTTATTGCTGAGTTCCTAAGTACAACATTCTTATAGAAGAGCAGAGTACTTGTATACTAGTCTCCATTCTCATTGTAATTTGCTCAATTTGTTGCAACTGTGGATATATTAGAACTACATCCATTTACGTAATTATTGATAATAATTATAAAAATACAATTTTTTTCTGAGAAGTACAAGGCCACTGCTCTCTGGTCATTCAAGTACAAATTTTAAATGTTCGTACAAAATATGTTCTTAAAAAAGTACAAAACAAGATCCCTCGTCGGTGTGTGAAAATATATATATATATATACACACATATATATTTATATATATGTATGTATATATGTATCTATTACATAGTATTTCTTAATACAATGAAGAGATATCTTCCTTTGCACACAGGAAATTTTCAACGATTGTTCCACGATAATGATTAGTGGCAATTAGGCACTGTATGCGTAAAATACTTAATTACAAACATCATAAACATTGAATGTTTCCTCTGTGCAAGAGGAGAGATAATTCATTTTATGGTTAGTGTGTGTGTGTGATGCGACTAGAGAACGTTGAAACATTAATATTTCGACAAATATAAACTTGGAGATTCATAAAAGAGTATACCGTCAACATTTCCCACATAATACAAGCATTCCAAAATACCTCTGGAATTTCCAACAAATTTACTATGCTCGTTATAACAATCGTTACAACAAATGGAGAATACGTGCCCGTATTGAAATGCACAAAAGGGGTACTTATTACTGGCATCACTTGAGACAGCTTGCTATGAAATATTTTCACTTGTAATAGAGTACGTAGCAAAATGTCAACATGAAAATTAGTATGTATGTATCGGTATAGAAAAAGATAGGGTCCGAATAATTCGGCATCGAATATAAATATAGCAAAATTGTGTTCTGATCAATCTCGACGATGCGACAATGCCAATGACGCCATTGAAACCCACTCCCGACAAAGCTGTAGAATTGGGGACAATTTTAGAAAAATACTCACGCTTCTCAGCTTCTGCCTGTATGTGCCTCAAAACTAGTGAGTTTGGACTGTTATTAAACTTTTGTCGCTTTCGCCTTAACGAATCAGGATCATCTATAAATGATTGTACATTAACTTTGTGTGTTCGATCAATAATTAAAAGAAGTTTCACTGACGACAAAGGGCCCTACAAAGTCACGCGAAATCACTTCATCCTTAAGTAGAATAATTTACACAAAATAATATCTTTTGTTGCAAATACTTGCCGAATTGCAAACAAGTAAAACGATTATAACCCAATTCGGCTATAAATTAAACGTCTACTCTACGACTAGAAACAAAGTGATATGCGCATAAACTTGGAACGCTATAAAAAAAACTTAACAACGTGTAATAAATAGTAAAAAGCAAGAATATGAGTATAAACACTGTATAGTCTGACTAGAAAGGACTAGATATAATCCTTCGGCAATAAACAACAAGTTTTCGCTGAACGTACACTTCAGCTATAATTTTAGGTCCGCATGAAAGACTATGGAAACAGAATAACAATTTGTACCGGGACTAGAAAAGCGTTAGTAGTATTCGTCTCGCTTGCGTGTTTCTTTGAAATTCGTTAGAAAACTGTTTTCAAATGTACAAATGCATCGCAGGCTCGCGAGCGTGTCGAGGCTACGAAAATTCAACTTGTAAAAACGTACAATCGTAAAATACAACAGCCCAGACGAATCACAATATACTTGTATACTTCAAAATATCTTTTATACGAGCGTATTTATGCGATATTGCTTTGGGGATAGAAAAGTATCACTCTCGAGTGGAAGTACTCTATCAAACGTAGTAGACTATCAAAACCAACAAATTATGTTTCTTTCTTTTCTGAGTAGATCTTCCCTCCCTCCACGGGACTGTAATAGAAAGACATTTCATCGAACTCTGATGCAGTTGCATGTGGAGCCATAGCTGTATACAACGCATAGTGTTCAGCCTCTGTTAATTCCATTCCATACGGTGGTGTTTCATCACCATCCAATCTAAGTGATTTGACGCTTGTGGTGCTTATTGCACTTGGTCTTGGACACTGCAATTGCGCGGCATCTGGTAAATTATGTTTTGATAAATATGTGATGCTTCCTGAAGTGCTTAGAGAAGGATTACTGTCTTTGGAGGCATTCGAAACAGTGTCTTTGTCTTTCTTGATTTTCTTGGCAAATAATTTTGAGAAGAGTCCTTGTTTCGAGGACTTGGTGAGTGTTCCGGGTAGAGAAGGTAAATTCTTGTTGGGCGCTTCAATGAATGATTCAGGTATCGCATGGGAGGATATAGGGCGAGGCAGAAGAGGCATAGAAGGCATTTTTCGGATACGTTTCGGAGGCAAAGGTGGTAGTCTCTCCTCGGTTTCACGCGTTCCATCCCTCTTTGTGGTCACCGGGGGAGAGGGAGACGAATGATTCAGATTTACTTTTGGTACTGCCACATCTTCGTACTTCCTATCGTTCAGAAGATCCATGAATTCTATAGGATTCTTCATGGCCATCTGCAGACTAGTATACGTTTGATTATCGCAAACGTCTATATCCATGGATTGATCAGCGGTATTCTGATCAAGGGCTGCCTGCACCAACTTCGCATGCGTGTCAGCATAAATCTGATCGAGCTCAGCCACTTGGGTCAATAGTTCATTGAAGGACTTATTGCAATCTTCCGTTTCGGTCTTAAAATCAACTTCTTGATCCTTCTCTTTGAGACACGTTTGGCCTTTCTGTACCCATTTGCCTACTTCCGAGTAATCGAACCAGTCTGATTTATTTTTCGGAGACTCTAAGCTCTTCAATATATCCGTATTGTCAACGACAGTGTCGGACTTGGCGTAAGTCAATGTTCCTGAATTGGTATCGACCGTTTCTTTGTCCATACGATTGTTATTGATTGGATAGATCTTATTTGTTTGTTCGTTTTCAGTGTTATTTTGCACCTCGTTATTCTGGTAATCTATTATAGTAGTTTTTAAGGGGTTCGTACTTTGTGCGATAGTCCGATTAACCATAGCACTTCCGTTACAAGAGTCTAATGTATTCTTTACGTTGTATAGATCGTTCAAGGCGCGTAAGGCAGAGATTTTATTAGTGGATTTTTTAATGTCGAAATCGTTATTATTAAATTCGTCAAGATTACGCGGATATCTGGGCGCAGCGTTTGAGAATAAGGCAGACTCGGTGGCTAAGATTTTACCAAATGTACTATAATCTGTTTTCTTCCGGGCAAATGCTTTCCGCAAAGACCAGAATGCAGGCCTACCTGCACCAAGTGGTAACATCTGAAATGGTAATGGTTCGCTAGTTGCACCATCGGACGGTCTCTTAAGCTGAATGTACACTTGAACCGGTTGATCCACTTGTTGTAACCGATAAGTCGGTGTTCTAAATGCTATTGCAGTCTGTTAACATTCATCAAATACCATTTTACATCTTTGTAATGCTAAAATATCGAATTTATGATTATGCAAACGTTAAAACGTACTTGTTTATGTACATGAGTAGGCTGAAAATCTCCAAGTCCTTCCCACACCACTTGTCCATCCTTTTCTTCGAAAAATCTTACTTGTATATCTTCTTTTGCAACCTTTTCACACAGCAAAATCATTTCCATACCACCCGCAACCGAAGCACTACAATGACTGAGCTTAGATATAACGAGATCCGACATTGCCTCTGAAACATTCAAGGCAGACGTAGAATGGCCGATTCTAAAAATAAATTTAAAGCCTACAGTCGATTAAACTTACTCTTATCAAATATAGGATCTGATACAACGGCCGGTAATGCGACATTAAATTTTCCTTTCTGAGATCCTTCTAGGAAAACTTGAAAACATAATCTCACTGCATTAAGATCGATGCTAGTAGGTTGTCTTTTATGTTCGAAGCCAGCTATGAAACAAAAAATGATATATGATTCTGGATTCTTGTAACAGATATATTGTTTCTGATTTTATCTTTGACTTACTTCGAAAAGGATCTACGCGAATTTCTTCTCTTATTCTAAGTGCATCTTCTATATCTTTTTTCTTAACACACTGAATACCAAGATTCGCAAATGTAACTGTCATGTTCTCAGAAGATACTTCTACTGTACAAACACCTCTCTTGCATGCCTCCTTTCCAACAAGATTATGAGGATGAGGTCTGTGCGGTGGATCTTTTGTTACACATGATACTACAACTAAGGCTCGGCCTTTGTATCCCACTATCTTTATCATATATTAATTATTATTATATAAGATTACCAATGGTAGATGCTACAACTTCATTAATACTCACTCTTATACTAGGAAATATTTTATTTTCTGGTGTACTGTTTACACCAGGTATACTACCAGCAGATCTGCCCTCACACTCATAGCGAAAGCGCAAAGCTTTGCTAGCTGGCTGCTCTGTTATCTCAACATAAGGCAATATTCGTCCGGTGTTCATTTCCACCGGTGTTGGAGTTCTCGTAGACTCCACAAATTCAGGATCCGTTCGGATGACCTCAACTATTTCGAAAATTAATAGAAGTTGGACTAAGAACATGAATTAAAAACTTTACATAGAAATATAGGATAGAAGTGAATACTTACTGACATCACTAATATTTATATTGCCATCACTCATATCAGAGAACTGTTCCATACCTCTTAGTGGTTAGTACACTGAACAGAAGCCATCTGAAAAATAATCGTTACTTCAATACACGGCATTTTTTAACACCAACGAAGCTGTGAAATACATAGTTCGCTGTACGTGTTAGGCTATTATTTGTTCAAGAATCACGTGCACAAAAAAGTAGCTGCAACACGTCGAAATAAAAGCGTTTCTTCATGATCTACGATGATTGTTTTCCACGCGTAACTAACGAAGGAGGAAAACCACGAACAAGAGGATCGCATGTTACAATGTCCTTTTCCCGCGACACGGATTTGATCGCGATCTCGTTGAATCCAGATAAGAGTCTGCGAGTGTACCTAAAAACCGGTTCATTCGGTGAAGGTGTGCATTCTGAACGGTGTATCAAACATCTTCTTGGAATAGGTGTTTGTGTCGCAATATGTAGCGACGATTTACGCGGAACGAGTTAGGCGTAACTTTTCGATTAACACCGATTTGGAGAAATCGAACGCGATGATAAACGTGCATGGATAGAGGTTCGGTGTGCTTTGGTTGAACTTCGAAACGACAGCTGTTCACAGGTATATACTCAGGTGTACTCCCGGAGTCACTGCAAACTGCAACACAAGTGTCCCGAGGGAAAAGAAACGGCAAGAAAATAAGACAGAGAGCAAGACAGGGACAGAGAGACAAGTCGAGTGAAAGATAGATAGAGAGAGAAAGAGAGAGAGGGAGTGAGAGAGAGGGAGAGCGCGAGAGCAGTGGACGAGGAGGGATGCCACGCTGATCCAATCATTATTTTGGGAGAGCCTAGGTCTGTACCAGCCGTGTAGCTATAATTAAACTATCGTAGGACAATGTGACGAGAAAGACTTGCCTGCAACTCGATCGACATAGTAAGCACTTTCTTGGACACGGATTATATCTTTTCTGATCGAAGCGTCCCGTCGGTCGGGTTACCGTCGTTTTTTCTGTTTTTTAATAAAGTCAACTCTCGTTACGCTCGATAACTGCGTAGACGCGAAAGATATTCCACGATTCAAATGCTCCTGATTGGCGCTGCGCACACGGTTCGCGTCCGCACACGGTTCGCACGCGACACAAAAGTGTGTGCATGAGACGAGACTAGAAACAAGACCTAACCCGACGCAACATTTCGCTCGAACTTTGCATCGGCACTGGCAACTGGCATGCTCTCTTGCCGCTTTGAACCAGCGGACCGATATTAACTGCTCCGCGGATAGGCGCGAACAGGCGCACTCGCCATTCCAGAAAGAATCTACGCTTTTGCGCGGTCAAGCGAAGTGTGCGAGAGACTCTGTTACGCGAACGTATTACGTAGATCCAGACATTTTGAATTGAATCGATCGTTTCGAATCGGCCGCGACTGTTCTTTCGATAACCGCAGGAAAATCTCGACGCTTCGATTTGCATTCCTCGTTTGTCGCGGTTAATGTTTTGTCGCTTGCGAATTATGAATTGATGCACGTTCCATCGATCGGTCTAATGATTCTCGCGCGATCACCGACTCCGATCGCGATAGGATGCATTTGGACGCGTCGCAGGCGCAGTAAGATTTATAGTCTTGTTTCGTTGTTACTTTGTTCGAGCATCGTCTCTCCCGAACCTGGGATTTTATCTTCCGCTCGCACGATTTGTGCTTCCGCTCTCAGCATTTCATTTCTACGCGTGTATTGTGTAGAGATTATTTCGATTTCGAGGCAAAATCTTTGGCGTCGGTCCAGCACGCGCGACGAGCAAATAGCAAACGATTTAGTCGAAGATAAAATAAGTTTAGCAATAAGTCTAAGGTTCACCGAAATTATCGTATGGAGATTACGATTCAGGAACGTGGCTACATGTCCGGCGCCCAGGTGTTTTCACGCGATGATGATGACTCATTGATGCGCGTCACAGGATTCCATTTTATCGTTCGAAGTCGAGAAATGTTAGGTAATCGAAAAACTGCTTGTAATTATATAAATCATTTCGGGGAAGAATCTTTACCGGACAGGTTTTCTATTTTTCGGCGATTGGCAGGTTAAGATAGTTGTCAATGTTCCGAGATTACGCTTACAAGTCGGATGCACGCGTTACGTAAGCTCGAATCGTTTCTTGTGCGTACCGTCGTAGGTGTTATATTGGATTTATACGATTCCACGAACTAGAACGTTCGAGGTACGCGACAGTTCGTGCGGCTTGTTAGAAATAATTGAAGTTATCGAGCAAGAATCACAAGGTTGTTGACGGGAAGCGAGCGGTACTCGTATGATGTATACAGGTTGCCTCAAAGTAAGCAGCACGCTTCACAATGGTTACGATCGTAATCGATAGATCTAACCTCGAATCTCGCATTGGCAATTACCTGCGCCATCATTTTGAGATTTTGGGTACTCGCGGTCAATTTCCGGAAAATCGATTGCCCGATATATTCAACAGATGGCGTTCGATTTAGTAATTGTAATGCTCAACGTGTACGCCGCAAATTCTATACATTTATGGCGCGCAACGGTACATCGAACGCAATTAGAACGCTAACAGAAACGACGATTTAATCAGTTTTTCACCTTATTTGTAAATGTAACAAGATTCTTCTAGACTCTGTTATTCCCGCGTTGTATCCCGACGAACTTGCGTCGCGTGTAGCGTGGATCGTTGTCTTTCGTGGTAACGGTAACTTTACAACCTATTGAAGGGTAGTTTTGAACTTGGTTATACCTAGGTGGCGGTTTGAACGCGCCTTGGAGGACAGTTCGAAAGAAGGCGCGGAAGATCCGACCGCCTACGGAAAATTAAAAATTGTTGCTTCGGTGAGTGCGATTCCTAATGAAATACGTTGTCGTACAATATCGACAACAGGTAGATAGATAATCGTTTGCTTGCACGAATATTCTAGTTAGCTGCATTGTACGGCTGGACGACAGGGGAAGCGATCGGCGATTCGCTTTTGTCGCGACCGGTCGCCATGACGAGAACGGCAAACAATCGTTGATCGCTTTTGTAAAAGAGCGTTTACTCGAGAATGCTGCAAGCGATGCCAGAAATTGCGATCTCGCCGAAGAGTCTGCCTTCCTTGAGCATTTCGGCCGGCTCGAAGGATGAGACGTGCCACATTCCCGATGGAAAAAGGCTGCCAGGATGCGTACGATGTAAATTCCAACCGTACTCTCATCTTCCAGTAAGATGTTACAGACCCACACCCCATTATCGTCCACCAAGGACTTCCCTGAGGCTAACTGGACTCGCTGCAATAAATTGCACCGGCTCGATCAACACGGCGAAAAGCTGTCCAGAAAATTTAATATGCAGGCCCATGTTTCGCATCATCGGCTCCGCGTCTTGCAAGAAGAGTCTGTCGATGATTGATCTCACGCAGTCCAACATGGAGGCGGAAAACGGCGACCTCGGGTATGCATAATTAGCCGCCTAAGTTTGTCGAATCTTCCGATGGTTTTGTTTGGTATGTATTTAAATATTCTAACACCTCAGGGCGTGTTCAAGGCTTTTAGGAGTATAATAATCGAGGGTTAAACAAGGGGGCAACGAGAAGCTACATACCGCCCTGTGCAGGCAGTCCGTTCGCGACGTGATTTTTTGGCGTAGCGTTAATGTCGGTTCTTGTTCATTTAGGTCGGATAGTTGCTCGACCCTGGAGAAGCTCGAGGACACCGAGAAAGTTTACGAGGGAAACGACGTCGGCCTGGGCGTCGGTATCAAGAACTGGATGGACGGATTCGTGTCGGCGGAGTCCGAGGAAGGGGGTTTGAGATTTTTTGAAAATCCAAGAAAAGCAGCGAGCCTAGTGTGCCGCGTGCTCGTGGTGAACGCGTGGAGGCGCAGGCGCGAGGAGGTGGACTATCTTCGCGGCACGATCGACGATTTGACACGGAACACGGGACACCTACAGCTGCAGATATCCGTGCTGCGTCGACTGATCGACACGGAGAACAGCCGTGTTGGTCGGCTGACCAGTGAGGCGAATCGTTTGAGAATGCAGCTGGACGAGGCTGTGAAAGGGAGAGACGCTCTCAAAAGGGTAATACGTTCCACGAAACGTCCAGAGAAAACTCGATGGACCGCTTTCTATCTGTTACAAAACGACAGTGGATCGTAACATTGAACGCTCGTGGCGTTGGCTTGCACGCGTGAAGCACGAGAGTTCAATGACGTTGATCTAACTAGAGGGATGACGCTAGCGCGACACCGACAGGTGTTTCGAGGTCGCTCGATAACAAGGCTCCCGAAAGAATGGAGCTTCCAACCGTTTCGGTAACCGCTGGAAAACGGTTACCTCTAGTATCGGACGCAGCCCCGCGTTTCATGATCACACGTTCCGCGAGTAATAGAGCTTTCCACCGATATATCGACGGGCATCCCATCTCGACCATTAATTAGCGTGCACGGTGGACACGAGCGAGCTGCTGGCACCGGTCCAACAGCTAATTGTGAAGCGAAAGAAGGAACTGTATCGCGACGCAGCGGCGTTGGTCGAAATAGATAAAACCGGGAGTCCTGTTCTAGATACTTTTCGCCCGTGCGATGCGCATATATTCTACAAAACTGGGTTACCCTTCTGTTGCAGGAGAAAGAGAAGATCGAGGAGGAGATGAGGCGGTTGCACGAGGTCGCCGAGGGAAGACTGGTCGTCGTCGAGAACGTGCAGAACGAACTGATCACGGCGCAAAATCAGGTTCAAGCGTTGGACGAACAGATCTCGAGGGACCGCGAGAAGCTGCTCAAGCTGCGGGAAGACAAAAGGATGCTGATCGAAAAGGTCAGACTCTGTTCCAATGTTTTTCCTTGCTTCGACAGCCAACGCGGGACATTTCGCCGAAATACTTATGCTACGAGGTTACACCGCGGTTTGCAAGCTGCCATAATGCTGCCATAACGCTGCGAAAATTGATTTCACCGGATGACTCATTGCTCGAGGCAGACGAGACCGAGGAAGGAGAGGGTGCATTCGGTTCGATGTGAATTTCTACCGCCTTCTATGAGAAAATGAGTCATCCTGCTGCCCTTCCGAGTTCATGGAACTCTCGCAGAGTTCAGACCCTATAACGATGGGGCGCGAGGCGTTCGGTTCTTAACCATTTTTCTTTTCGAAAGTTTCGTCGCTTACACGTTCGAAGGATAGCAATTGAATTTGATAGCTCGGTGGATGAACACGTTAGGGGATATAGTATACGGTTGAGTCACGTTTCTTGAACCATCGGTGACTCAATCTCTTACGGTACTCGTTGGTTACCTAGAAAGGGGATCGATGCTGTTGACCCATTTCGTTCCTATTCATCAGAGATTACCAAGGAGAAAATAACGAGAATGTTGCACCGTCGACTGCAACGTTTGCAACCGGGTTTCGTGTGCAGCTCCGCTGCAGAGCAACCATTCGTGTCGTTTATCTCTACGAATTATCGATCGTTCCGTGGAATTTACATGCAAGACCACCGTCGATACTCGGAATCTCAATATAAACATTCGTGTAGGTGACAGCCTGCGAGACTTTGGCCAAGGAAAGGGGTGCGAGGGCGGAGAAGTCGGAATGCGCTGCCGAGGAGCTGCAGCTCAAGCTGGCCACGCATATCGTTCTGACGGAGACGTCGCAGAAGGAGATACAACGATACATCAAGTAATTCGCTCGAGGTCAGGGTCAAAGAGTGTTTCTAAGGGTAAGGGACGATTCTCAGGGAACTGAAGATCAGCGAGGCGGAGATAGCTAGGCTTGAGAAACGATTGCAGTGTAGCGAGGATGCTGAGAAGTCTCTAAGATTGCGCGCGACGCTTCTGGAATCCAAGCTGAACGATCGTGAAGCGGTCTTGAGATGCGTCGAGTCCACTTGTAATTCGCAACTGTACGTTAATCGACGTTAATTTCGCGTCATCGAAGAGTTCAATTTTGGTAACGCCTCGATATTTTAGGGCGGAGTTGAACGATCTAAGGAATCGTCTGATAAGGCAGTCTCAGGACGGTGGGTGGAGCAGCAGAATGTTGCAAATCGCTGGCACGGTCGTCCGTGCCCCACGGGCCATTTTGAGGTCTCTGTTGTCCACTACGGGACCGGTGCTGACCCCTTAAAGGTAGATCCGTCAGCTCTTCATTGCTACTTCTTGATTTAACAAAGATCAGGACTTCGTTGATAGGTCAATCGTTTAGTTGCAATTGGTCCCGAAAAATTGTTTTTAGCAAGTTAAGGACGCTTTCATCAGGATAAAGTTCTTCTTTCTCTAAAAAAATTACCCGAATTCCAGGTGTAATTACCTGTCCGAGTTTCAAAGTTTTCTTTGGAATGGAATGTTCCCTGAAGTGGTACACTTCGAAGTCTGACGACGACGCCTGTTCAAAGGTGACGAGACGAGCGTCGAGGAGAGAAAGGACCAAGGAGGATCGCGAGAGAATTTCTTTCTTACATTGGCGTTTTTTCTTGCCGCGGAGATTAGGATACTTTATTTTTATAACTTCTTTTTTTTTCTTTTTTTTTTTTTAAAAACCATTTTCTGATATTAGAAATGTTACGATTCGCTGAAACAACGTATCGCCGATGGGATGAGAATGGCTGAAATAAATATCGATGTCGTGTGCTTTTTGAAATCTATATTTTACACTTTTCTGTTGTAACATGATAGAGCGTTAAAAATAAGGTACCGTCAGCATCGCCGTACATTAGATAATAACTAAATCGTTTCTCATTGCAAATCAATAACAAACACATTTACATAACCGGTAAATATGTATATACATGCGTTCGTGCGGCCGAGCGCGTTTTACATAACGTCTACGCGTTTAACGCTACCGATAAAAACTGAAAACGCATATATATATAACAGGGCGCGATACCCACGGTATATTATTTTTTGGAAACACGTCACGACAGGTGTGGCGGTTAACTCTAAGTAACCCACGAGCGACGCAAACAAATACGCCGTGTATGATCACAATTCTCATTATTGTGTATCTTAGATACAAGATAAAATTACGATTCCACGGTTCGTTCGGTTAACAATCGTCATCGTCGCGATGCCTCTCGCCGATCGTGGTTGATCAGGGCACGAAATTTCATTGGAAAAATTCGTTCGTTATCACAATACGAACACATTCTCGTGTTCGAGCATATACGATCGCTGGAGACGGTGTGTGTGGTTGTAATACACGCTTGTGATTCTCGCTAGTTCTCCCTAGGTATTCTCTGCAGTTCGATAGACATATCGCTACTGTTCGAAGAAAGATGTTACAGGAGAGAAGAAAGAAAAAGGGGAAAAGAAAATCTCGGATGCGCGAAATTTCGCGACAGTCCGTTTTCTACTGTACGCGCTAAGTCAACAAATTGCCGGGACGACGGGTTCGCGTCTACGGTGAAGTCTATGTCGTCGTCCCTCGCATTTGGTTCCGATTATGTGTTTTCTGATCATGTATCGCGTCGATCGGGGGTGTTTCTCGAATGCTGTGCGTCCAGCACGAGAACATGCGCGTGACGATGATATGAAAGAGGCACGAGGGTACGTCCTCGAGATCGAATGAGAATTTACCTTTCGTCGTGTCCGCTTTCTCGACGACTGGCCGAGGAATACTCTCAGACTGTACAGGCAAAAGTCTACTCTTGTCTATTTCAGGCAACTACATACAAAAAGAACTTGCTCGGATCCGTTCGCCGCCGTGTCCAGTCAAACATTCCTCTTACTATTCGTTTACTCCCAATTTAACCTGTTAACCGGGGAAGACGAGCTATCTCGTCGATCATTCGCCTATCGCCTACAGCCTAACGCCTATCGTCTCTTCCCCTCGTCTATTCACCTAAAGGCTCTCGTCTCGTTCTAACGTCTGCGCTAGCTATACGTTCCTTTGCCGGATACATCGGTCTTAATTAACGCTTTCGTATTAGTTCATCTCCGATCGCGTTCGCACGGATCTTCGTGGTAGAAAAGTCAGCCGGTTAACAGGTCAACGCGTAACAACATAATCTAATACGTTAACCTACGACAAATCTCGATAATCCAGCGATCCGGATGTTCCGTTTGGGGGAAGGAGGGGGGGATCGCCGTTTCCGTGTCGCCGTTTTATAAAAACCGCGGCCCAAGTAAAAATATTCAATATATCGCCGTTTTATGTTTTCGAACGATTCGATTGTTCTCTGGTTGTTCTTCGGGCAGAACGGAAAAGACTTTGATCATTCGAACAACTGTCCCCCGGTGGGTATCCGGGTGTATCAAAACGCGTTGCGACGGGGTTCCCCTCTGTTTCGCGCACTCGACGAACACGCGAGTGAAAAAGAGCGTCACGTCTCGGAGTCGCAACTCTGTGGTTGGCTATAAACGAAAAATAATCGACAAATAAATACAACCGTTTTTTAATGATCATTCGCGTGTGTTTGGGTTGTGACTAGATACGATCGAACGTTGAATCTCTTCGATTAGGACATGCCGAAGCCTTCGGTACCCTCGCTGATCGCTAATAGCAGAGCTCTCTCGAAGTGATCGTAACACTCGTAGTCGGGTAAGCAGAGTTGATTGAAGCTGCAAAAGGAAACAACAAGAATCATCAGCATCGTTTTGCTCGTCAATCTCGCCGCGTGTAAACATCGGAATTGCTTCTGCATACCATGTGTGCGCCGTAGGTAGGTTAGCGAAAGTCGGTGCAGCTGTGATCTGAAACCGCGGGTTCAGCTGTTGAAATCCGCCGGGCGGTAATTGCGAGCAGCCTGTGGTGAACTGCAGCAGCCGGGCCATTTCCTCCTGGGTGAAGTTACTGACCGCGGTCCAGAACCAGTCGAGAACACGCAGGAACTCCGGGGAGCTTCCGTTCGCGATGTGGTGTGCCCGTAAATCTGCCACGCTATACTCGCCGGTTCCGCAGAGCAGCAGCTGCGACGCGTAAACGGATGAGCAAGGGTTTCTATAAACCTTTCGAGAACCGCTATTACTTTTTTTTACCTCGAGTTCGTTCTCGTCGAAGATACCCAGCAGATTGTCAGGGATCAGCTCGTTCAGTCCGCGCAGGAAGTACTCGACCTCGTTCCTGATGGAACTGGCGAGCCTGTGCTGCGCCAGAGCGTCCAGATACCGCAGCTTCGTCTCGTTGACCACGCGGATCTTGCTGCCTCCTGGTATTAACTCTGCTACCTTCAGTAATTGACCGTCGTTGTCGTATTCCTCCTCCACGAAGTACAACTCCATTTCCTCCACGTCGTTCTCGAGGATGTACTTGATCTTGCTCAGGTAGAGATCCGGGTCGTCTTGCTCGAAATACTACGGTAAACAGAGTAATTGTAATAGATAGATATTGTAACAATAGGAAGATGGGATCATCGTACCTTATAGTGGACTCTGAGGCCGATAATCTGAGCGAGGAAGGATCTGGTGAATCTGGCGCGCACCAGTTGACGGTAGAAACCGCCCAGGGCGGACTCGAAAAGGCATTTGCCGACTATGCGACCGGCGAACTCGTAATGCTTCAGCTTCAGATGCGGCGGCCTCTTATTGTTGGGATGGACCAAGGCTTGCGGTGACTCGCCGAAGCAAGCGAACAGCCCGTTTCCAGGATCGAACAGCGCGGCGCAGATCAACTCGAACCATTCTCGCCTGACTCCGCCCCAATCGACGCCCTGTTCACCTTGGAAGGTGATCTCGAAGTTCCTGCACCAGTCGCTCACGGAGAAACCCTTGGTGACTTTCATAGACTACGGGGAAAACGATATATTAGACTGTTCTCCACAGGCTCTCCATACAGTAAATTCTCCTCGAGTCTCGTCGTCGACTTCCCCTTTTACTTTACTTACCGATTCTAGAAGCTTGTCACGCTGGACCTTCATCGAGAGTTTCTCGTGATAATGCTTCTGATGATGCTTCCGCACCTCATGGTAAAAGAAGTCTTGCTTGTCGGCGAACGTCTCGCTTCCGCCGATGTTCTTGAGCAGAAACAGGGTGAAGGTAGCAGCTATGATGTCTCTGTAGAGAGAAATTAACTCGACCGGCGGCTGGCATCCGTCGTCGATCGAGAACGAGTCGTAACCGTCGTATTGGCTGCTCGAACAATTAAAGTGGAACTGAAAGACGTCGTATACACAATCACCGGTGGTGTCCATTGGATCTCGGGGCGTTTCTTGATGCTCACCTTGGTCGACGGGCAGAGCCTGAACGTGACGAGCCTCTTCGGTATGATCTTCAGCAGGTACTCCTTGATGGTGAGCTGCTTCGGCGAGATGAAGCAGACCACCTTCCTCGGCTTGGAGAACCGCTCGCCCTGCATGCCCAACAGCTTCGCCGCGTAGCAGATGTCCGGGTCCTTCGAGGCCACGTTGGTGTGCACCATCCTCGCGACGTCATCTGTCGAACAAACTCGAATTAACCAGCGCCAGGTCGGAGACAAGGCACCCGCCGCCTCGTAGTTCCGCAGACTCTCTCGTACTCTCGAGCGCGATGATGTCGAAGTCGCCGTTGTGCAGCTGCAGGCCGGACAGACTGACGGTCGCGTGGTAGCAGCCGCTTTTCGGGAAGCTGACCTTGACGCGGATTCGCTGATTCGGAGAGTCGTAGTCCAGCTGCACGCTGCAGTTGGTCGCGGCCGACTTGTCCACCGTGTTGCCGATCTGCCGAAGCAACGAGTTATCGTTCGACAAACGATTCCCGACCAACTGACCGATTCGTCCGTGCGCCGCGTGTCTTGCCTGAGTAATGTTGACTCGGTAGCCCTCGGTGGGCTTGTCGCCGGGCCCGAATATGCACAAGTTGTCGTACTCGTCCCGCGGCTCTATCGTCATGCTATGAGGGAATCCGGCTGTACAAACCACCGTGGAGCTTTGTCGAACGAAGATGGTCTTGTTTGGGTCCGGAGGGCCTGGAACAAACCGAGTCCTATGATAGCAGCCTTGCGGGAGACAGTCGATAGAGAACCGAGGACCACAACCCTACCGGGTAGGAAACTCTTAAGAAACGGGCTGCCTCGCACGTGGCAGGTCCCTATCAGTACGGCTATGCGATATTGTCCAGCATGGCGGACGGTGAATTTGACGACTGCGGTGTTCGCGTCCATCGGGTCGGTGCCACCCAGTTCTATCAGGGTCGCGACCCTCCGGGAGCCCTCCGACACGTCGACTATCAGGTTGTCCTTGTCGCAGATCGGGTACGGCTGGCCGTTTCGTTGGTAAAACTGCGGGCAGAAGACAGGAGGATTCGAGAGAACGGACTTTCTCCGAGGGATCGACGGGGCTGTACCTTGACGGTGAAGGTCATCGTCTCGCCCACCAGCTGCGGCTCGTTCCACTTGAAGTGGACCAGACAGTTCCTCGGCAGCAGATACTTGCCGGTGACGTATTGCAACAGGGTGCGCTTCGCTTCCGGTGCCAAGGCTGGCTGGGTCATCGCAGCCAGGATCACCAGGCCCGCCATAGACACGGAAACAACCAACATTCCACCTAACGGAGCGTACCGAATTAATGATACGGTGTGTAGGATTCTTGATTCGATTCGATCTACAGTAAATTCTCCCTGATTTTCCTTTAGCTTTTCAACAAAAATGCGCAATTTAAAAAGAGGAGACTATAGGGCTATAGTCAGACTATAATTATACTTATAGTTATATTACCTATAGTAAGGAATAATAATATAATTACAATAATATAGCAAGGAATAATCGCACCTCCACTTTCCAAATTGTTCATTTTTGTTTATAAGCAGAGGGACGGTTGGAGAGAATTTACTGTATTATGTAACAGCCAGTTAGCACCGCATATTGTCTAAGTCCGTTCAAACAAGACAATGGCTAAACGGAACCGACAATTTCTCATAGGCGGAGGCCTGGTTAAACGGTCAAGCTACCCCATGTCCACGCGTGTTGATGTTGGCTGTTCTTGACCACGGCGCTCCACAGATCTGCCTTGAGCGTCTCCAAGTCCTCCTTGGACGTGGGTAAAGTCTGTCTGGCTTCTCTCCATCGCGGCAAGTCCTTGCCAAGAGCTGCCCGCGCCGCGTTGTCCTCCACCCAGTAGACGTCCTCCAAAGACATAACCTCCATCTGCATCAGCCTGCGAGAAGAGGTTACAAGACCAGGCTCTGATCGATATCGTTTCGAATGCAAGACAGAAAAAGTCTCTGGATCGAGAGACGATCGCTCACTTTTGATAATAGTTGTGCAGGCCATGGTCTTGCAGCCACTCGAGGAGGACCAACCTCTGCAGCAGCTGGCGCGCGGCGCGTTGCAGGCGTTCCTCATCCTGTGCCGGAAGCTGCGGTAGCGCGTCGACGTCGCCGCAGCTCGCGAGGGACGAGATCCCTGAAACAGAACCACACGTAATTCGATTTCAAAGCGAAACAATCGTTATCGGGATTTTTCTAATTAGCGGCCGGGACCGAGGCAGATAGGCCGCGTATCTTCGGTCGAATGCGGGAAGCGGTTTCGTCAGATAAACCGGAACTGTCGCGGCATTTCCGCGCGCTCGTTGTCATTCCGTGGTGCGTCGCGAGTACGTCGAGCCGCAAAGATGCGTTCCAAGTTGTTCCACGTTCTCCTGTTCGTCGCCGAGCGCGTCGTCGCCGCGCTGGCGATATGCACCGTGACCAGACACGAGGGAGGTGAGCCACAGACAATTTTCAATCGGATATAGAGTCATAAATAACTTACAATGCAGCCGGGTAGAATAGCAAAATTACAAAGAAAAAGTATTTCAGTCATATCGTTTAGTAAATTAGTCTCTCTAACATCTAAAAAAAAGTTCAAGTCATTTAGTTCAGTTTTAAGATGGTTATTGCGTTTTAAAAGGTTATGTCAAGGTTAGTTCGAACACTTTTGTGGGGCACTGTATCCAGGGTGTCCCAAAATTATGGTAATTTCGGGAAATGGGGGGTTCCTGAGGTAATTCGAAGCAACTTCTTCCTTTATTTTCAATTTTCTCCGAGGGCATCGTCCATGAAGTTATTAACAAAACACACTGACCAATGAAATGCGAGCTCTGGACCGATCCAACGAACGGTCGGTGGCTCAGTTTAGCTCATTGGTTCCACCGTCTCGCACCAGCCGATCTCGCTTCTCATTGGTCACCGTTTTCCGTTAATAACTCGTGAACATAGCCACGGATTGCAATTTCGCCGAGGAAAAAGTTACTCGAAATGACCTCAGGAACCCCTGAATTCCCGGAAAAAGGATAAATAAAGAGAACGTCTGAGAAAAGAGCGTAAGTTATTTGTGTACTCGATCCATTAGTAATCGACTTCCGCGAATGCGACTCATTTCTGCCCGCCATTTTCTTAGATTTTGGCGACCGCGTTCAGTGCCAGAACACGAGCCTGGCCGCCCTGGCGAACGTGAACTCGTCGGAGGTCGCCGCATTGATGATCTTCCAGTCGAACTTGGCCGTGATTCCTGGATCGGCTTTCGCCCGTTTCTCCGGGAGTCTGAATTCGTTGAACATCCACATGTGCCGGCTGAGGAACATTAGCGCGGACGCGTTCCATGGGCTGGCCAAGCTGAAGAAGCTGAGCCTTCCGAATAACAACATCTCATCGGTGAAGGAGGAGTGGTTCAAGGACACGGTGTATTTGGAGCAGCTGGACTTGTCCTACAACCGAATCGACCGGCTCAACCCGGCGATATTCTCGAGGATGTTGCTTTTGAAGCGTCTCGATGTCCGGGAGAACCGTCTGACGTGCTTGGACTGGACCAGCCTGCCCGGCGGCATCGAGAAGGTCTACTTCTTCGGTAACCCGTTGACCTTCCTCTGCCGCGGCAAGGTATGATCAGACAGCTCGATCGAACCGAACGGAACAGATAATAGTTACCGATTGGCAACTATAAAAATAATAATTAATAATCGTATCTCCTCTTCACCCACATAGTCCAATTACTGTGTTCTTCTTCTTCTTCTTCTTCTTCCTTCGGGAAGAACGCGTCCCCGTTCCGTTCGTCCGGCCGCGACGACACCGTTCTCTCTATGCGTCTCGAGTAACCTTTTGCGTATCGATTTGGGAACGGTGCAGCTAACGCTCTGGATGCGGGATCACGGGGTGAGCTACAAGACCGGAGCCAGCGACGCGAAGGAGGCATGGCTGGACAAGCTGCTTTGGCTCTGCGCCATCGACGACTCGGCCGTCGCCGGGTCCGAGCTGCTGATCAAGGAGTGCTTGCTCCTGAATCTGTTCGAGCAGCTGAAGACCGGGCTGACCACCGCCGAGTCTTATCCGCTCCAAATTTCTTACGACTGCGCGGATGCGATGGATCGTCTGATGGTCTGCGCGGCCAAGGAGTCCGAGGATGCCGGACCTTCGACGAACGCGCGTTTCGTCACCAATCTATTGCTGTATCTGCGAGAAGCCAGGTCCAGCTAGGAGAGAAGTCCGGGGCCTGTCGTTGAAACGTTTCGCTCCGTCGACATCTGCGGGTCGGTCTCCGGACCGCAGATACAGCGGTGTCCCATAATTATGTTAACGCCCGGGAGCGGATGATTCCTTAGGCGATTCGAAGTAACTTAATTAAGTTAGAAGCGTGCCCGATGAAACAGGAAAATCTCGAGCGAATCTTAAAACTTGCTAATATTTAACTTCTTTTTGTGAAAATTGGGTCGTTGAACGCAACTGCTTTCTCGCTATCTTCATTTCACACGTCACAGTATTCTTGGTACTACGCGTAGCGATATTATATAATATCGATATTTTTTACAATATTATAATTTATATATTATCGCCGAGGAAAAAGTTACTACAGATCGCCTCAGGTGTTAACATAATTATGGGACACCCTGTAGACTCGAAGTCACTTTTACACTTTCAGTGATGTTCCAACGAAAGCTTAACAACTTAACATCTGTAAAAAGTTACTTCGAGTTTATAAATTGTTCGCAGCACTGTAGACGGTCTCTCTTTTAGCTGTATATTTCCCTGTATATTTAAAGAAAAACTTGACAAAATATCGTATCTGTATATTTCTATATTATAATGAATAGAAAACAGAAATATACGAAGATGATATTTTGTTAGGTTTCCGTTCGGATATCGGTGACGATGTAAAAGCCGCTTCGAGTCTACAGTTATGCACACACCACTGTATCTGAAATAAAGTTTCGTGCTCTGCGCATCGGTTGGCTGCGTGTTACATACTCACCGGAAGGTGCGCTGCCGCTGGGCCGCAGCGACATGCCGATCGACGATATCTCGTCGGCAAACAGATGACTGACGCGCTGTCCATTCCGGCAGGCGGGATTTTTGTCCGGCATTATTTCTCGCGGCTTGTTCTGGCTCGCCACCGTTTATCGACTAACAGGGCACATTCCTTTTCGTTCACCGTCGCATCGCTCGCCGCGTCACGAGGTCATCTTTAGTCCCCGAAACAGTCACACAGAAGCGGGGCTTGAAAACTGTCGCGACATCGATCCCGGCACGCGAAACGGTTACGCTTCGTTTCCGATAACAGTTGTAAATGCAGTAATTTCTCTCTAATTCGCTCTCGGATCGCGCACGCGTTTTTATAGTTATCGATTGTCAACTACTGTAAAAACGAGAGCCGTAAGGCTCGGTAAATCGTGTCTTCTCTTACCAAATTATCTATTTTTCTGCGCAAATTAGGGAGAAATTATTGTAGACTGCGAATCTTCTTCGCGACCGTTTCAACCGGAACCTTTGCGCAACAGTTTCAAACGGTTACTTTCGGAACCGTTTCAAGCCCTGCAAGTCTCCCTTCAACGCCGCAACTACCGCAGCCGTTGCTTTTCTCGTTTACGAGTCGTCGGGATCAGAGTGACCGCGGCGTGTGTGTATGTGTGTGTGTGTATGTCAATACAGTAATTTCTCCAGAAAATGCCAAATTTCGGGTTGCTGTAAATTTCCCTGTGCTAGTATTACGCCTATGTAATTTATTGCGACGGATATGGCACGCGATGCGAATTCCCGGAAGACAAAATGGTCTGTTTGTCTTCGAATCGTGGCGTGTGGCCTTCAAATTGCCTTCAAATCGTGCCACTTGGCCTCCAAATTGCCTTCGAGTCATGGCACGTGACCTCGAAATTGCCTTTGAATCGTGTCACGTGACCTCCGAATCGCGTAAAAAATTAGAAAAAAGAAATGAGAAAAAATCGTTTTTCTTCCGGTATCACTATGCATTGCGCTTTTCTGCCGCATGCCTCGAGTTTCTATAAAAACGAGAGCCGCGAAACTCGATTCCGACCTCCAAACACATTTCTGGGAGAAATTATTGTAGTTCCAGCGTTAAACAACGTTCACCGATAAATAGCGATCGGTCGAGATCTCGCTCGTGCAACGAGCGACGTAGGCCGAAGAATCGTTAGAAGAAAATTGGCCGGAATTCCGCGACGAATACCGTCGGCAAATACCGCGGCCGTGTTTGCGCGCGCACAAAGGGGATGATGCTGCGGACCGGCATTAATCACTCCGCCGCGGTGAACAATGGGGGATTGTGCCCGCTAACGAAATGTGATTAATTCCGATTATTAGTCGAGCGAAACCGGAGAGGTCGCGGCTGCGAAAAGCTTTCGCGATTTCCATAGCGGTTTCGGTCATTTGTTCCCGGCCGCCGGAAGGAAGTTCGGCAATTCGCGATTCGCGTGAAAGGGCAACGGCCCGTCGATCAATCGTCGTTCCGCTATTGTTCCATCGTCGCGCAGCGGTCGATCTAGCCGAAAAGCCGTATTGGCGTAAAAAATCCGATGAAATATATGATCAGAATTTGTCCATATTTTCAGTCGTTTTGTTCCAAATCAACGTAATGCAAGTTCGCCTTTGCTTAACAAATTCTATACAATTACGAATACAATTCGTTCAAGATAATTCTGCTCTTTTATTTAATTCGATTTCTTGAGAAAATTGCTTTTTGTTTACGAGCTGTCGGAAAATTAGGTATAATTTACAGTATTCTGAAGCGAGTTCTACTGTGAAAAAAGTGGCGTCCAATTCGAGTACGGGAACCCATGGGAAACATTTCGGCGAGTTATTTGGCTAGATCGACCGGGTTGCGCGTCGGTATCTCATCCATCGTCGGTCCCGCGATCGTATCCTCGATGCCCGGCGGATTATATTCCGCGTGGATTCGCCGCGCGAATCGCGAACAGCGAATCCAGGTCGGTCGTCTTGCGCGCGCGGCGAAGTAGGGAAAATCCAATCGGCGGAGGCAAGAAGAATGAATCTCCGCGGCTTCTGGCGCGTTCAAATTTCAGGATTAAGCCGAGGAAAGCGGGCTAGGTTGCAGGAAGCGGTCGCTCCGGGGCCGGTGTATTACTTTTGCCCGCGCTGACCCAGATCCGGGGGCCGCGCGCGCCGGAAAAAAGAGATTGATAGCGGCTCCGACGATTCCCTATTGTCCTGGGGCACGCTCCGCGCCCCGCCGCTCGGCCCCGGCCGATTAACGGCGTCGATTAAACGATCGCCGATGGCCGATCGATCGGACAACTGGCCACGGTTTAATCAACGACCGCGGCGCGGCGGCGATGCCGACACGCTGCACGCGAATTAAACGCTGCCGAAACCGGGTCAAGAGTCCAGCCGAGGTCGACCAAGGGTCGTCGTACCCGCTTCGCCCGCCCCGCTAGAGTCGTTCCGCGTGCGCAATTTATCGGCAATTGGCCCGCGAGAAAAAAAAAGATCGTCGACCGTGCCGAAACCAACCGGAAGAGTCAGCCCCGCTTGTTAATCGATAACCGTGCACCGCGATAAATCGCGGTGATCGTCCGCCGAGATCCGAAATCACCCGGACTTTTCACAAACTGCCCGGTTTTACCGAGGGCATCGGTTGTTGCGTCGGAACGACGCTAATTCGCGGACGGGTTTTCGAGCGACAGACTGCCGATCGTTTCTGCGAACCGATGCATCCGCGAGATTCTCTCTCTCTCTCTCTCTCTCTCTCTCTCTCTCTCTCTCTCTCTCTCTCTCTCTGTGTGTGTGTGTGTGTGTGTGTGTGTGTGTGTGTGTGTGTGTGTGTGTG